GCAAATGGATAATCGAGCGTTGCTCCCACCAGGCCGCAGTGAATGTGGGTATCCCCGTGGCAAGCAGACAGCTCGAGGTGATTTCACCCCTAAACGACACTCTTCCACAGGTAGCCGAAAGTCCAGTACAACACCATTAATCTGTGAAGTCAAGAGAAAATTGGAGGGAAAATTAACTCGAGAAACACCTGTGGGCGATACAGATCATTTAAAGGCTCACGAGTCGAATCAAATGACAGAATCTCATTCTGGTGAAGACAGTGACTCACAAGAGACCTTCTCCAGGGAGGCATTCCAAAAACAACGCCAAAAGAGGTGGGTACGCAATAAAATTTGAAATGCGATGTCTTGAGCATGAAATTTAACAGGCCTTATATTCTAGGGAATTTAGGTCTGACCTTAACCGCTCATTAATGCAAAAACATAAAAGGAGACCGGCGAGTGTATATCAGTGCACAATGTCAAAAAAGAAAATATTTTCTGAAAACCATACGCAAAAATACTCATGAGCTCCAATGAGTGGTTTTTGAAAACGAAGCCGAATTCCTAACTAAAACTGACATATTTCCATTAGTTGTCTGAGAACGCAATATCAGTAGTACCTAATTTGGGACTGTTTGCCTGAATCCTATACTTTCATGCATGTTTCGAAAAACAAAATTATGGTACGCGGGTTGTTATGGAATAATTTAGAAAGGTCAGAGTACTCTCTGCTTGCCAATGTTGGAAGCATACGTGCTGACTCAGCTACTGATACATATGATAAGAGAAATTTTGGTAGAAGTAAACAGTGAAAAGGTACTTGAAAGTCCTATGGGATAAACTTTGGCATTTTTAATTAAAAGGAATTTCAAACATTGTTCAATGCTTATGACGGCATTCAGCCTTCCTTAGAAATAAAAATGATCCAAATTGTTTCGTACGAAGGAAAGACCTCAGTAGGTATTATATAATTAGTCGATGGGAACTGTGTGCGTAGGACGTCGTCAATTCACTAGCAATCAGATGATTGCCTGCGCAAATTGCCAAATAGGCCTGGAACTGTTAAATTTAGCAACAGGCACTATGTTGTTTAAGACGTCCGCGGAACCAGGAGGTGGTCATTTCTAAAGATCATTCTTTCATCCTCTCACTCAAAAGGCGTCGGGTACGTCACATCGCGCCCTCTGAGACGGACATATTTTATAAGGGCTTTTGAACGCGTAGTGGAAATCCGAATTAACTGGACATTTGCCATGAATGTAACGACATTTCGAGTTATTGAAGTCAACTGTTCATGTTCCGAAGCGGCAGGTTTAAAACCAACACGGTTTCCCCTTGTAAATATAATTTAATCGTCTCTTCACCATGACCGTAGGAAGTGTATCTGAGTGCATGAGGCAAGAATAGAAATGCCAATACACACCTAAATTAGAAAAAAATTTAGGAGAAACTGTAAACTTGATTTCCTTAAACGCTGGACTGGTGCCTTATTTGATTTTTTATCTCTCCGGGCATATGAGCGAAATCTCTTTAATATCTTAACTTTAACCCCCTGACGTTTTTTAACTAGTGTTTGTAGAAGCCCTTATGACCAAATTCTTAGAATCTATGCATAACTAAACAGGAAATACTGCTGATGAGGAGTGAAATGTATGATAAAGAAGGAAAAGGGTTTATGTGACGTAATTTTGCTGTTTTATAAACGGTAGATTTGAGTTTATCAAAAATAAATTCAAAGCCAATGAACGGTAGCAAAATGTTATGGTGTTTCGTCGACAGCCGAGCAAACCTATCAGCAATCTGAGGGGCAGGAGACGTCGGCTTCTAAAGAAAAAATTAAATTTGTATTAAATGAAATTTATGTCATTGCATCCGGCGAAAAAAGTATACTGAAGATGGACGTGTAAGAAAGCCTAAGTGCGGCAGCTGATAAGCCGTCGCGAAATTTGTTGGTTCTAATAAATTCTGCTGTGTATGCCTGCTTCAAATTTATTACGGGAAATATTGCATTAAAATATTAATTTTTATTACTTCTGGGAAACTACGAAATGTTTTTTAGGTTAAACCACTTTCTCAAATAGTTTGAGTCTTAAGTGGCAACGTTGATTTCCTGAGAGGCGGCACTATTGCCAAATCCTAATTGGTCAATTTGTAGAATTATTTACTTCTTGATAACTTTTCTTCGAGCAACTCTGTGAGCAGCAACGGCATGAAGGTGTTCAATGTGTCGCGTACAGCCATTGTTGTCACAGCTCACCATTTTGGGGTTAGGAGATTTGTGTTACATATGCTTCTGAAAGATCAAAGATAAAGCCGCCAACGAAGTTTTCCAGCCGTTTTCATAGGGAGTCTTGACTAAAAAAGTACGTAAACCTACTTTACATAATCATTATGCTTTCCATTGACACTGAACTCGTTCAGAATCTTAAATGGCCATTAACATTTTCGTCCAAACGAAGATAAGCTATTTATATTCAACGTAAGTCTATCTTATGGATGAAAACTGATTTCCGAATTTAATTCAGCCGTAGGCGCGGAGGAAAATTAATATTTTTATTTCTCTGCTTAAAGGGTGGGTGAGAGAATATCTGAGCAAGGTGCATTAGACGTTGATAAAGGTGCCCAGCGTGTTTGCGCTACAATAGATACATTCTCAAATGTCTCAGGGTTTTTCAGTTTACCCGTGAAGTACACTGGATTAAACCTGAACTATTCTGGTCTCGTTCATGACATAGCAAAAACACATGTATGTCGTCCAAAGCTCTACGACTGAGCAGCAATGCCCTGTTTGTTGCAATCATAAATTTTAATCCTGTTGCAAGCGAACCCACCGATCGGGTCACGGGACATGGTCGTCCGTTGTGCTTTGAGGTTCAATCAGATGTCGCCGTAGGCAATCGGTGGACGAACAGAAGTATATGCAAGCGTAAATACTGGTTGAACTAGCGTGTCATCCGATTGATATTTTTAAAATTTCAGAGTCAGTATTTCCAGACGGGGATAAGGACAAATAGTAAACTATTCATGCACACTATAATTGCATTTGTAAACGATTTTGCTTGTTAATTTCCTCAGTTATTTGATGTGGCTTTTAACCGACCCTTTGCCGCTTCATGTGGCCAAGTGCGCTGTATTATTTTATTTAAACTGCGGAAAAACCAAAAAACTAGCCGTTTGAAGCATCATTGGGAAAAAAATCCAGTGACCAAAGCAGCAAAATAATTTTTTTTCTTGCCAGAGGTTGCTAACTAACCTGGAGATTGTTTTGACTAGCGCACTATTTCTGTTTAGGCAGTGCAGATGCAAGCGCTTTGTAACCGATGTATAAAACCATAAACAAAATAGTAATTAATTATTTCTAAGGTCGCTGTCTAATAACCAGGTTTTTGGTAATGATCGGAGAAACGGATAGGACCATCTGCGATTATTCGCTAAATACACTCTTTACATGCCCGCATTAGTCATATCCTATGTTTGTATAGAAGCACAGCCGTAACTAAGCGTCTAGCAACAGGCTTAAAATAGATTTTTCTCACAAAATTCCACTTAACCGTGGATAGGTCGTCTTTGTAATGAATCAAGCGGGCGTGCTGACCCCTTCATCGTATAACTATTTAAGCACTGCAGTTCGATAAAAAGCTATGATTCATTGAGAAGGCAAATTTTGTATCATTGTTAGTCAGGTTTCTTCGCTATGAATGACGAGTTTACCCAATCCTAATCTTGAAATAGGTGAAGAATGCAATTAAACACTTTAATAAAGGCTTGAAGGATAATTTGACTGTATGCGCTTGTAAACGTGGTTACACAAAGTTGTCCAAGTTGTCACGCACAAATTCAATGGTCCAACTGCGAGATAATAAAGGGGTCAGATGAACCTAACTGAGAAAGTTTGTCTGAGCGTTGTGCTTAAAACATGTTGGCGTACTCCATTTATCCCCAAATTCTGCAGCAGGTGGACCATGAAAAGTGTTAAGCAGCCTTTTTGTACGCGCAGTTCAAAGGAAGTCCAGTAAAATATTAAGTTTAAGGTTTTTTTATTAAAGTTTATTTTTAAATATTTAAATTTTTTTTATTTTTAAATATTTTTTTTATTATATTATTATTTTTAAATACGAAGATCGGTATTGAATGAGGGTGCAAGAAGGATTACAAAGGGGCATGATATTTAATCGTTTATCTACGACAGAATGCTGACTTTTACCTGACAATCTTTCCTGTCACCCGCTTCTGTGACCTCCGGAAAATAAAAAAATTTGCAATGCCTCATTTATCCGTAGACTTCCATGGCTGTAAAATATTGTAATGTGCCGAGATTCTAAGATACCGTGGCATTTCGAAGCCGGATATTTGAAAGTGCGGAATCCCTAACATTATTAAACACCGCAATGTTCGTGTTTGTTGAAATATGGCATTCACGGGTGCAACGTCGTGCAGCTTCTGAACATTCTCGCTGGGATATCTTTACATCTAAGTCGGTGCCACGGTGCAGATCGCATTTATTACTTAGCAATCATTACTGGTAAACATGATGCTCATAAATTAGACGATATATCCTGTCAATTTTCGAAAAAAATTATTGTTTTTAGCTTTATCGTAAACCATTATGTCTCATCTTCAAGTGTTGCTCTTCAAAAGACCGTTATTTGCCGTAAAAGGAACATTTGCATTGAAAGCTCTCCTATATTGTTCCGACGAAATGCAATGGAATTTGCAGGTGGTTAGAACGATCCTTACTTAACTTAAAGGCTGCTAATTTACCCACCGTATCTTGCGGTATCGGCCAGCTGAATCGATAACATAATGTCCTTTTGGGAGTCGCTTTCCGCTTGAAAATTTAGTTAACGCCATGAGTTTGACCTTTCTTGATTTTTATGTTTAGTGCAATCGCATTTTAACAGCAAACAAGCAATATACCTCAAGGATTTAAAAATTGTCTACATGCTTATGTGGATTTAGCTTGCCAACATTTTTATGGCATTCTTATAAGGCAGAATCCCTCAACAAAGACAAGACCCAAATTAGAAAACAAAGCGTAAATAATGGCAAAACTAGCGTAAGGTTGTGTAAATTACGAGTGCAATTTATAAGTTTTTATCTGTGGACAAACCCCCACCTAGGGCAGTGGCCGATTGAATCATCGTCATTGATTCAGTTTGTGAACTAGGTATTAATTTAATAAAATTAACCTTGAAGGCCAAAATGTCCTCTTTGCTCCATGCCTGAAACAAAAGTGTATACTGTTAGCGGCAATCCCACAGGAATCATCGAAATGTTATATGTTGCCCTTAGATAGAAGGGAAGTCTTGCCCAATTAACGACGTAGTTGAAATATGCTTAGTGAAGAGTGAAGTTTGAGGCTGTTTCATTGTGTCCAAATCGTTAAAAGTACGCAAGTTGTGCATTTGAGTACAGCGTCTACGTTGCAGAGCGTTTGGGAACAGGCACTTATCACTTTTTTCCAAAATAGCGGCTCGACCTACGTGCAGTACCTTTGGATATCCGCAGACGTTTACGTTATGACGTTTGTAAACGCCACACGCATGCATTTTTCATTAAACAACGTTGAGCCGCTACTTTAAAATTCGGTCCACAAAAAATTTATGGTATGTTGTTTATACCACTTTCGCATCCTAAGAGGACATTCTTTTCGCACGCAAACTCAGCAGATGCTTTGCAAAATAACCCATTTTGGTTTCAATAATTAATACATAGGAGATAACTGAAACTAACAGCAAATTCAGGCTTCGCAAGATCTTGTTTCATTATTTGAAGTGATGTCACTGAATTACCTCGAATTTCATAAAAGGAGCCCCAGATACATGCGAGAAAGTTCAAAAAGCGTACTGTGCGTATAGACCAGTGGTTACCGTTTACGGTTTGACTTCGCAATAAGTAGTTCAGTACTAGTTTCCGGAGAACAGATACGATAAATAGCCGAAATTAATGGTCCGTGTTTAGATGGATTGAGATTTTATCGACTACATGAAAATTTCTACTAAATCTGAACAAAAATAATTAAAAAATGCCAGAAGGCAGAGTCTTAAGATGACTAACAGCATAACTTTACCTACTAGCGACAATGGATGTTTGATCGCTTGACTTAGCGCCAAATATTTCGCCCGCTATTCCTGGGTTCTCTTGATTCAAATTTGAAGCATCGCTCGAAAGAGTAAGCAAAAAGAAACCCTTTTCCGGTTTCCTTTACTTTGCTAGTAACCTTCTTGTATTGCACCGTGCTATGAGTTGACAATCCAGAATTAATTCTAACTTAACATTTGTCGTACTGATGCCTTCAAATTTGCGCCATCAAATTTTAGTTACTTTGGAGGATTTAACAATCTGGCTATATCGGCTATCCTGAAAGTTACTAAGTTGTCCTTCACAGGATAATAAAGCTCATTTGTTGCAGGAAGAAATAAAAATAAAGGCAAGAAAGGCTGGGTAGATATTTCCGGCTTATCTGCTGTTGTCAGCCAGTCAAGAACTCCCCTTAATACTTCTACGTTTTTGCATTAAGTGAATAGTACATCACACATACCCTTCGTCTACGGTTATTTTGCCTGATTTGTCGAAACACCTTCAAAAAACTAAATTTCTGAACAATGACTCATATGCCTTATCAGTGGGGCCAGTCTTTGTGCTTATTGATGCTGACTGAATGGAAGGACTGCCTAAGGTGCTATTCATATTGACCCAACTGTGAAAAACTCGGCGTCTCGGTGCGATTCGAACCCACAACCGTAAGGTGAAGGCTTTAATACAGCCAACGCTCTAACCACCTGAGCTTCGAGACCCAGCCGGACGACGCGAGTTTAATCACATTTGGGTCAAGTTACCCGCCCAACCTACTGCAACGTCTGGGATCCACCAAATCTGATACAGTAAGGTGAGTGCCCAAGCAGGATTTCCTAATTAATTAGCCTAGAATCCACCAGATGACTACCAGGCTCTCGGCGGGGCCTCGTAGCTCAAGTGGTTAGAGTGTTGGCTGTACTAAAGCCTTCTCCTTACTGCGTGGGTTCGAATCCCACCGAGGCGTCGATTTTTTTCACAATTGGGTCAATATGAATTATTCAAAATCTGCCAAAATACCTATAAAGTGCTATTGTAATTAATCACTTAATTTGGACTCTGTTCACTACAAGCGGATGATTAGGTAATGCACATAATTGGTTGAATGGCAAAATCTACTGCGTCATTGGATGTGGTTAGACTAACGCGACAAATGTGGCGCAACCTGTTCAGAATCCTGTGTAATAAACCGACAATTTAATATATTAGGTTGTCTTTCAGTCGAAATTGATTTCCTGCCCATTACAGAAACAACGTAGGTACAATGAAGAGGAAGGGAATTCCACGGCAACGTTGGCAAAAAAAACGGTTAAGCTGCCCTTGATAGCATAAGTATAAGTGTTTTTGACCACCATAAGTGGGACCAGAGTAATAGGCAACTATCTCATTAGCGAATGACTTGGCCTACTGCTGTTTGCTTTTCTTAGCCTTCCCATCGCCTGTCCAGCGAAACACGTGGTAGAGTAGGCTTTGGCATACAGCAGGGACATTAAACCTGCCCATGGTGTCCTCTTATCAGTTAGATTATCGATCTCCACAGGGCGTTAGAGCAAACGTATGGACTTTAGTAGTTTTTTCATCAATCATTGAGTGGCATTTATGACAAGTGATAAGAAATAACGCAATTAGGTGTAGATTTTGCATTTCAAACTAGGCAATTTAAGGCATCTTTTCTTTATTCTAAAAGAGTATTTGACAAAGGCAAGATTCTGTATCCTACCTGACGCGGATAATTATGCCAAAACTGAGCTTGCGTATACACTAAAAAGGTAAATTGCAGTAGATGTGTTATCTCATGAAATGTTAACCGAAATTCGGAAATATGTTGTCGATTAAAAAAGAGTACTTGAGTGGAGTCATAATATTAATTACCATGGAGCATAATCCTAGTATCTCTCAGTCGCTCCAAGATGATGGCTTTTGAGCGAGCTCCGCTCCAACCATAGGCAAAAACTTTAAGTTGTAAAAATGACTGCTTAGTGGGTATGAATTTTTCTCATTGATTTTCAAAGTCACTATGAACTCCGGTAGACAGCAACACAAGCATATTCTTCCTTGTGCTCACTTGGTAGCAGCCAAATTCTTCACATGAAGAAGGATTATCTTCGGTTTTCGAGAAGGTTTTAAATCTATAATTTTTCGTCCCAAATGCCGATACACTTGTATTCAGGGTTTCTAAACTGTATTTTGTATACATTCTGCTGAAAAAATAACACATATTTCTCTACGCTGTTAGAAATATGTCATATATCAGTCTTAAAACTGTTCAATCGATGTGAATCGGGTTGTATACTCTACGAGTAGCATTAATAAACGTGCTGATAAGGTGTTATATGAACAGACATTTCGAAGTCTCCAAAGATCTCATAATTGTAACCTTTTCTAAAATCAAATGCTCCTCTTTCTTCCTTCAAGTAGATCATTTGGAGAAGACTTAATTTGCTATCAAATGGACACAAGAAAGAATATGTTTGTGCGCGTTTCCTGCATGACATCAAATATCAGTGATCGCTTTTAACAAAGTGTAAATTTTGCGAATGGCCGAAATGAAGTCCACTTAAAAGCCAGAATCCTGGTGTGAGTGAAATACCCTAGGGTTATGCCGCACGATAATTAGTATTATAATCCCACTTAAGTAATACTTTCTAATCGAAAACATGTTCCAGAATTTCGGTCAACATTTCATCATAGCATATCTACTACATCTTGTATTACAAAAATAGCAACTTCGCACCCAGTATTTTGTTATATCCTCAGTGAGCGCATGCCTTCCCTCCAGGTATGCAGCATATTTGCAGTCAGAGCTGAAAGCATGACTTTAAGATAGGTTTCTAAACTCACCAAAAATGTAAACCCAAATAATACAGACATTATATGCCTTGTCGAATGGATTGGCAATCCATTGTTGCATGGTCACGACATTTTTCACGTCAAGTGATGAAATCTGCATAAACTTAAACTCCCTTCTTTGGTTGGAGGGAATGATGGAATCTACTAGGACTTCTTCAGTCCACAGTTGACGTTTTACAAAATCGAGTCGACTTTTACAAATCCTTGGTAAATTGGAATATTTCAAATGGACGTTTTTATGAATCGACACGAGTCATAATCATTTGTTGTATAGCCTAAGAAAAATCCGTTCAGGGTCTCGACTTCTTCAGAGTTAGAATATTGTCCTGCGCCCCTGGCAACTGGTCCAAGTCTCAGACGTTGATTCGGGGGATTCTCCGGAAGTTTGTTCTAATCATGGAAACTACAATTACACGAAATAAAACAACGGATTTTTTTAGAGACAGTCTGGGATAGTGCATCACATCCCGTGTCCCAGATGCCCTTATACCTAAGGCTTTCAGAGGACGCATGCTCGAGTCGCGCATACACGAAGACAAGCCGGCCGAGCAAAGAGGTGAAGCAGTATCACAAATTGCTACCTACAACTACGAAATGGGCCGTAAATTTAGTTTCGCAGTCATCAAGGAAATAAATCGCGATGAAAACAAGGCAGACTGAGAATGGATTGAAGCCAGAGCTTTAGATGAGAACTCAGTCGAGCGATATATTGATATGAGACCGGCGCCTCCAGAATTGCGTCATTTAACGACTGGTTAGTATCCGCTATAATTATTGGGCTTCCTGTTATTGCTACTAAATCTGACGACGTACAGCGATTGGCCGACCTCGTGAAACGTGGGCCACAATCCTGAAGTGCATTTTCGATTAGAAAGGATTACTTAAGTGGGGTTGCTACACTTATTACCATGAAGCATAACCCTATAACATTTCTGACTTGCCAGGATGTCGGCTTTTGAGTGCATTTCATTTCGACCTCCTGTAGAAACCACACTTTCACAATAGGCTGTTAAAGTAGCAGGTATTTTTCACATTGATTTTCGATGATATTATAGATTTAAATACATTGTATAGAAAATATGCACAAAATTACGCTTTCTTTAACTCGTGCGGTAGACAATCAACTTGTCTCTACAAGTTGTACTCGAAGAAATGATATCTTCCAGTTTGGGAAACGTTTTTAATTATGAGGTTTTTAAGACCGTGCAATGTCCATTTATGCAGCATCATACCTGTACGTTTATCAATGCTCCTTGTAAAGTATACAACATCGTCCGCGTGCATCGCAAAATTTTATGAACTCTATATGATATTTCCTTAAATGCGTAGAGGAATATATGATTTTCCTTAAGCGAAAACGGCTGATCAGGCCCAAAATTATTCGAGAATCGGTAAACTTTCCTAAAACTTAAATATGCGCTCTGTTGAGCACAGCATGTGACGACAACATGATGTTCCATCAAACGAGTACTCCCGCACGATTTCAAATGCCCAGAACAATAAACAAACTGCTCCGATGCTCGACCTGTCTTCTCTCTACACATGCACGTACCTGGAACTTCAGCATGTGCCTCCAGACAGATGTGCGTTTGTCTCGTGCTATGTCACTTTGTAACACGGGAGTAGATATTTACGAAAACATTGAGAACGCAGGAAAATCACTAGCACACACATGAATCGGACAAACGGATGATTGCAAGTGAACGCTTGACGCTACCACTCCCACAGTTGCACGTATCAGCTGAATTCTGTCGACAAGAGATTTCACTATCTGGATCTACTGTAAACTTGCACTGGCATGTCCAATGAGATGAAAAGTAGCCTTCAGGATATCTAATAGCAATGAACTTGTCGAGTCTCCAATCCAAGCTTACCACAAAATAAAGGTCAAACGTCCGCGGACCTCAGATAATAGCCTCTTCATTCTTCAGAATGTCTGTTTTGATCGGGTTTGCTATCTACAACAATTACCAAAAATACCCCCTTTTATCACTTGGTTTGTGTTCAGAATAGGACTGCTTTCTAAGTATGTTTAACGTTCATTAAAGTATCTGGTTCAAAATACGGATCACAATGATTGAACTTTCCATAAAAAGTTTTTGTCTCGTAAATTGCATGCTTATGATGCAGTTTAATTGCAAACTTCATGGTTCAATAGGTTTCTATAAGCATATAAGCATATTATGAAGTTTGTCATCTTGTCCTGTTGGACGGAAGTTGAGGGTAAGATACGCAGCGTGCAGCAAAAGTCATCGTCTTTCTAGACTGTGGCAGGTGACGTTCGGCGTTTTTAAGTATCATCTTTCATTATATATTATTAAAAAGGTTATTTTCATAATTCTATTCAGCTTGACTCGCCTGCCTGCAGACTGCAGCATAAGGGCTCCAAAAACCATACAGTTGAGGAGTTCTTCAGCACACCTTTGTATGCTGCCAACACGGAAACATACACTAAGGGGTAGTATCTACTCTCACGATGAGGTCAAATAAGTTTTTAAGCTGATAGCTAACAGGTGTGATATTTTAGATCACAAACCGGGAAACCATTTTACTTGCCTTACTCAAACTGACGCTAGAAGATCATTTGTCTTGCAACCATCTTAAACAGTAAGCGTACGTTTATGGAAATGTTTTGACTATGAACTCGAAACACCTTTTAAACCACACTCTTAAGACAAAATGCGGAAATTCTATGCTATTCGAATCCTCCTTCACATAAGTGATCCTATATCGTTATTCACGAATTCGAAATTGATCACGTCAAGGTTGAAATGAGTTTGATTATACCTCAGGCAGTTAGAATGACAAAATAAGTGCTAGAGGTTAGCTCGTCGTCAGGGTAACTAGTTGTTTTCTTGCTGATGGCCTCTCATACCTCACTAAAGGTAGGATATGCTCGCTTATGGCAGAGTGCGTCCACCGAGCATATGACTGTTGTTTGCAATATATAACCTTCAAATGTTGATGTACACAATATATGCATTAAGTGCAAATCTTGCAAAGTATTCCTAAACTTATTTTTGACGAAAAATGGAAAGATTTAATAACCCAAAATTCAAAAAAATCTATCTAAAAAGTCTTTTCAGTTGTTACATTATCAACAGAGAACACGGTCACTTGCGGCTTGGAGAGAAACAAGAAAACAAAGCATAGGCATATGAGGTCATTTCTACTCAGTTTTATGACTTTTTTCTACCACTCCCGCTGCGTAAAATTAATTAGCCAGTTTAGACGGAAAAGTCTCAATCTCTGCGAATAATAATTCTTTGTTATCGATTGCTTTTTTTCAAATTCATGCATAATTGCGTATCATACTTGAACTGCGGTCTTCTAAATGCTGAGATTTAAATCCAAAGGTTTCTTCTTGAATTGTAAAATCACGAAGCATTATTATGAATTCATGTTACCAACTTCATTAACTTTGCACGGAGTTCTATTTAAAGTCGCCCTATATTTATCAGATTGCCATATTCCCACAAAAAGAAGTTTGCCAGCATTTAACGTGGAACTGAATTGAAAATATGAGGTTGAGGCTTTAATTTACCCCAAATGTCTGTCACGAGTTCTGTTAGAAGAAGCCGTATACAGTCTTATCTTTGTCTGAGAGTGATCCATTACTAGTTAAAAGTAGGAATGAATAGACAAAACCGAAAAACAAATCTAATATTTGTTTGGCTGGCGTGAAAACATTTTCATTAAATTACTGCTTTGGTTTAGGCGTCAAGCGATGAAACGAGCGCAGGACACAATGGCTTTTTACAATGTTGGATACAGGCTTAATCGTCGAAAGAAAATGTTTGAACAGAGATGCCTTGTGACGGATTTTTCGCTGTTATTTGCCATACTTGGAATCATTCTGATGGTCATTGAAACGGAACTAACAATGGCGGGAGTTTATACTAAGGTATGAATTTTTACTTCCTGGCTCGCAAAAAACGCATAATCTCCAGCAGTTTATGGTTTAGCACTCCGTCTAAGGGCGGAAATATTTAGTCATTTCATTGCCGCTAAGTACAATAGCATCAAAATTTAATCAACAAACCCTGTTTGTCAATAAACCAGTAAGTTCCACCAGGTTATCGGACACACAGTTAAGTCGATAACTCCACGCTTAATACGAAGCTTTTGCAGACTGATGCATTCGCCGCATAGTCTGGCTGCATAGCCTGTTCTTGAAATACGTTATACTTCTTAGGGGAGAGAGTAATCAGATGATACAAAATGAACCTCAGATACTGAAAGTACATTTGTTGGACGAATAGTATGGCAGAACGAATGTAGATTCCCACATAGGCCATTTTTTAAGAACAGACGTGATGTGTTCTCCTATACCAACTAAACAGGGAAATTAACCGTTCCCGAAACCAGCAACAAATTGCCACAGTAGTAAGTGAAACTGAAAGCCATATGGAATTATACAAGATACAACAAATAACAGAACGTTTCTAAATGAAATACCGTTTGCATGAGAAGGCCATGCAGGCGATAATTCAGAAGATATCCTTGGTGTGCATCGGCCCTCCTTATGCAAGTCTCTACTGACGACCTTGTCCAGATCGGTAAGAGCAAAGAGTTATAAACACTTTCTATAACTATTATACCTGGAACTTATTCTTAAAATATGATTCCATCGGAGATGTTGGACCTCTTTCAAAAATGACACAGAGTCCACTTCAGAATTTTTCCTCAACGCATAACCATACACGGAGTAAGCTTAACTTGAACGTTTTTCACGGTGAGATTTAGTTCTGTAGTCCCCCTTGATTGATACCATGCAGTTATGTTCCAAAAAATTTTTGTAATTATGATTACAGTGACTTCACGTTCATCACGGGTTTGCGTCTTCCTTGGTATTTTAATCCAACGAGTGACTATGCCTCGTGAGGGAGTGCTTATACGCCATCCTCCGTTACATCATTATCAGTTCACACGCGCTTCCTCTGTGCGTGCTTCAAGTCCTGTTTGCGCCCTCTTTATTATCTTAATCCAGCGGGCGGTCAAATAGGCTTGCTTATGGCATTGTTCGGACGGAGGGGTGCTCCGTTGGTTTCACGATATTGGTCATGCAATGTGAATGAACATCCGGTTTCCCTACGTGGCTTCCCCGTTGTGATTGCGCCCTCACTATCCTCTCAATCCAGAGAGTGGCTGTGTCGCGATTACACCAAGCATCGACCCACGCACGCTTCTCAACACGTGCTTCGAGCTCCGCTTACGCGTTTTTACCCTTCCTAATCCAGCGAGTGGTTGAGTTAGATATGTTAATTAAGATTGTTTTAGGAATTGTTGTAGGTATTAATCAGGTGGGGCTGCAGGACCAAATCTCGCCTTTTTCACAAATCACTCACCAGTTTAAAAAGCTCTAAAATGACTATTTTTTCTAAGAAAGGGAAAACGGGAAGCAATGCCCTGCCGCCTACCGTGTAACGGTCTTTCATAAATCAGAAAGGTGTGTCAGTATGCTTTAATAGCACGAAGGCTAGACATTTCTAGTTGCAGGCTGCTGACTGAGACACAAATTAAAGGTCTTTTCGGAGTGAAGTAGTCAGGGTTGATGACGGCAAATGAACGAGTGGTGGCTATGCCAGCCTCCCTACTAGTTAGTTGCCCTCCTATAAAAGTGTTTTGTGCTCATATGGATTCTGGCAAGATCCTTATGGTGAATTTCAGGTTAACATGCGCTGGGTGCGCACTGCTTCTTAATTGCATCAGATCGTTTTGTACCACAGTGGCATTTCTATGACAGTACCACCTGAACCTGCAGAATAGTCCAATTAGGACTTTTCAGGTAGGCCTCATGTTACGCAACTGCTCAAAGCATCGTGATACGTCGCAAACGGCTCAAGCTCTGTACGTAAGCGTAATCAACAGTTCGGTTGTCTTATCGTAGGACTGGAAGTGCTTATTCGAAATTCATTTTCTTTTCCTTTGCTATGGGTTTTCACGCAATCACTCCCGACAAGCCAGGACAGAAAGGAATTGAACGACTATCATAGGGTGCGTGCAGTTCTCATCACTTCGCGGCTTGTCGGTAGTAAAATTGCTCTCAAATATTCCGCAACAAATTGGGCTTTCAAATACGTCCCGGACATAATTTGATATTGCGTCTGTTTGCACGTCACCACAACTGAAATTTACAAAAAACGCGCGGTATGGCCGGTCGTACAGCATCTTCAAGACTGACATATAAATGAATCAGTTAAATTTTTGTTCAAGCGCATTCTCGTCTTCAAGGGGCAATGCTATGTAAGCTAAAAATACCTTCTTCGTGCATGGGTTTGTCTCAGAAGCTTTGCCATGAGACTTAGATGGTCATATTTTCTACCAAAGACATGACGCCGCCATTTAGAGAATTCCCTTGTCAACATCAGAAGACAAGGGTAAGGTCCCCCAGAGGCTTCTCACCTCCAGATTCCCTTGCAACACACTAACAAAATAGGCAAAGAAAACCCGCAATTTGGACTGCTTTATGTCCTTTAAGAAACAAACAAAAAACCTACAAAGCAACATGTTCTGAAGGCCCACAAACAGAGCAAATTCGAGATTTCAAAAAAAATTCCCAAGGCTGCAAAAGTGGAGCTGTCCGCCGGGTAAACGCCACGAGCGAAACCCGACTAGATCTGTCGTATGAATGTTTTATTCACGAAAAAACTCCACTCTGAAGGGTTCGTCAATCAATCATTTCTGCCCAGACCGGGGACGGGGAAGAAGGGCCGCGTCGAAGTAATGACACATTTTACCCCACCCTATAAAAATACATCACTGGAAGCCCAGTGAATTGAATCTGATGTCGACGTATGCAATTACCATCTACACGACACCAAAACCTGCCACAGGGTCGTACAGAAGTGTGACCAAATGAGCTAAAGCGAGAAGTCACCCATCATCTGCCGTACCCGTTGTGGTACTCTGCAACTTAGACTAGGTAGGTAACAAAGTCGCAACAACAATGCAGAAGCACAAGGCTAGATGAGGCATAATGACCAGTTAGGCCAAAGATGTTGACAGGGTAGATAGGCAGATAGTTACCTAGGTATCGCAAGACTGTCACATACCGCCGACCTTGGACCAGATCTGTCTCTTCCACATGTGCACTAGGTGGCAGACAGTCATCTGCAGCAAAGAACTCCGCAGAACCATGTCCAGGGACAAACGTTTGCTTATAACTCGTTTGCTTTCCCAATTGTTCACTGTCTGCTGAACATGACCACGATTTGGCAGGTCAGAAGCCTATCCCCATTCCTCCTGAGATTGAACTGGATCGCCAAGGATGAGCCGTTTCCCAGACTGATTATTTCCTAATCTTCCTTGGGTTTCGTATTAAAACTAGAGGCGCCCCCTGGTTGCTGCAGGCTGCAAGTTACAGGCCATTTTTACTGGAATATTGGGTGATTCATTGGATTTTTTACTAACTTATCGTAGACAGCTTCCCTAATTACCGTAACCCACCTACTTTCTGCAGTTAGTAAGAAAACTGTGTATTAGAATTTTGTAGGGAAAACTCATATTTGGCAGTCGGTGTTATCATGCTGCTGCTTACTGCATTTTAGTATCATGCGTACTCTTGATCGCCAATTGGGGATTGAACCTATAAGAATAGATGGTCTTGCGTTGTATCATGCTCATTTCTGTCATCTACTTTTAGGCCTCCATGGGATCTTTCATCCTGAAGTCAATGATAACATGCACGACCCTGGCACTTGTTGGTCTCATAATCGCCTACCACGTACAAGTGGTTCGGGTAGGTGCCTTTTAACAGTTAGGTTTAGTTCTGCCTTAATTTGCATGTTTAGCAAAAGTGTGTCCTATTCACACCAAATGTTGGTCAACCTCTCAGTTAGCTCAAATTGCATTATCTCGCTACCTAATCCCCTAAGCTCACAGTTTTGTCGGGCGACGCTCATGCATCTTGTCGTTAGGACGAATAAAAATGTAAATGCTAAAAATGAAGAGGAATGGAAGATATCTGCGGAAGTCTGTGCAGACGAAAATTCACCGTAGGACGTACTGACTGGGAAACAGAACGAGCTTTGACCTGGGTTTTTTAGAGTAATTGTTATGAAGAAGGAGACACGATCGCCGGGACAAGAGCTTTATTAGCCTGACGTTTCCGATTCCTACTTGAATCCATCATCAGAGACAAAAAAGCAGAAACGGGTGGTTGTTGCACAAGGGGCTGCGGTATTTATAGGATGCAGGAGCCATGCTACCGCATACCTATGAACATTCACGGCTCCCCCTTCTGCTTTTTTGTCTCTGATGATGGATCCGAGTAGGAATCCGAAACGTCAGGCTAATAAAGCTCTTGTCCCGGCGATCGTGTCTCCTTCTTCAAGACTACTTCCTGGGACTCGTCTCTTCGCTCTATTGGCAGTAATTGTTATTTTCATAATTTCTCTATAGGAGCCTGTGAGACAGAGATAAGAGCAGTAAACACTCGCTCAGAGCAGGTGCACTAAGAATGCGTACTGGTTGCCATTCTGAACTATAGCGACAAACCTTTTCTCACCATGAGGTTTTACCAGTCCCTGAGTTTTGTATATGTTCTCATCGGTGATGCGCTGCCCTGCAAATGACCACAAGCAGCGATGAAAACAGGGCTGGAGTGGTTAGCGTGTAATAGATGATTTTTTATTTTCCGCCTGTCGTTGCTAAATGCCGCTCTTCAATATTTCGAAATTATGTCCTAGCAGCAAACGGTCATTGTCTGCAACTGTCATGGCTGCAAATTATGCCTAAGCAATCTATTTCCATATTTGGTTTACGCTACAAGATAAAGTAAATAGACCGTATTACAAGTCTAAACCTGTATTCGATTGCGGCGTAGTGTGTACGGATTTTCTTGTAATATTCTACTACTGATATCAATTTTCGGGCATCTCCGTCCTCACAGTAAACACAAGACCTTCGGTGAATGATGCACATCGTCCATCACATTTTCGTAGTTTTATTCTTGGCTTTAACAATTCCACAAAATTTGCGTTCTCTTTACGGAATCTCTTGATTCTAAGTGCTGCGCTCTAACTGGATTCTTTTCATCGGTAAGCGTTCGCATAAAGCTTCATCATGAATACTGTTTCATTAGGTTTATCAGAATTTAGACCAGAGTACTGGCATTGGGTCCTAGTAAACACGTCCTTTCGGCGAAAATGTAGAACGTATCCAGAAGAAGATGCGATCACTGGAACAAGAAGTTTATTAGTTTGACGTTTCCGATTCTCACTCGAACCCATCATCAGAGACGCCTGCAGATAAAGGCAAAGAATGCAGAATTTATAGTACATAGCTGCTGTGGGGTCATACGCATGCTATAATTATTAACTCTCGTTATCACCGCTGGGAGTCGTAACTAAGGCGATGATGGCTCGTCAGTCCGCGTCCGAGTCGTTAATTGCCACAATTTCATCATCCGTTTTGGATATACGTGCGTGAGGACCGTCTCGGAAGCTGTCAGCCGCCTTCTCATTCCACTTGGAGTCGGGATTACGCACAGGCCGAAAGCAACCATCAGGCGCCAAGTATTGAGGCCGAAAGACCCGCTGCCATGGCAGGAAACGTCTGGAGTCCTTCAGCGGATCTGGTGCAGTTGCGGACAGAGCACCTACGTCAGAGGAACTGGAAGATTCCTCCGGATGCGCATAATTGAGCACGCAGCAGGGGTGAGGAGGAAAGACGCCAGCTCTAGGGTGGCAGCTCATTCCACGGAACCCGGCCATATTTTCAAGCTTCAAGAAGCTGAAATCTTCACAAGAGCTGACAACCCCGTTAGCCGCCAACTGCTCGAATCATGGTTCTCAGACCTGCAATCCATCGACAAGTGCAATGACCTCCCGGTATCTTATTCAGTGCCGCGACGTTCCCTGAGCAGGGGAATCAGTCACGTGGGAGGGTGCAGGCGCTCAACAGTCCTCCTGACAGCGAGACAAAGCGCCGAGTAATCATTACGTCAACATCCACAACGGATGATGAAATTGCAGCAATTAACGACTTGGATGCGGACTGACGAGCCATCATCGCCTTAATTACGACTCCCAGCGGTGATAACGAGAGCTACGTACTATGAATTCTGCATTCTATGCCTTTATCTGCAAGAGTCCCTGATGATGGGTTCGAGTGAGAATCGGGAACGTTAGACTAATAAAATTCTTGTTCCAGTGCTCGCATCTTCTACTTTCGAACTGTTTCCTGGAACTCACTTTTTCGCCTCTACCATTAGAGCATATTTTTAAATCGCTATTTAATATGAGGACTGCTGGGATGTTCCCAGGTTAAATCAGGCAGTTAACATCGCAAGAGATGCCAAGCTTGTACCTCCATGAACACAATTTTTAGGGCGTAGTTTAAGGGTTATACTTAGATACTTTCTTCTGGAGTTTTATGGAAATTCTTCTGTCCATAACAGGTGAGCTTTCTCCATAAAACTTCTGCTTTCTTAGTTCACTTTGAAACAAATATAATGATATATTTTGCAGGGCATATTGAAATATATGTGCTAGGAAATTTTGCATGTTTGCGAACATTGTTGAAAACAGCTACTTATATACTTCCAGTTTTGCCTACTTATAACCAACGTTGATTGGACGTGGTTCCTCTCTAATCTCGCAAGTATATTTCCTCCTAAATTAATGCTAGAAGTGGTAGGCGACATGTTCTATCCGTTTTTAGGCAAGTAGGAAAACAACTGTGCAGAGTGCTTTTTGCGTCCTATTACAAACCTTAATCCATAAGTGCAAACCTGAAAAGTAGACCTGACAGGAAGGCTTTTATTGAAATGGCCAACACATGTTGCTGATAAAAGGAAGCTACAGGGGCAGTTTGGCAGGGAGTCTGATTTACGCACTGTTAGTTGTGCCAGCTGACATGTCGGCATGAGCGCTTGTCATGGACGGAGTTACTACCCGCTGTGACAAGTCGTAAGCCATCGTGTTGCTGGTGCTTACTAGCCTGTTTTCTCTTTCTGAGACGTTGATGGTGAGCCTTACTACGGGCAAGTGACAGGCGTAGGAATGTTGTGACAGGGAGCGCGCGACATTCTTCCATACGAAAACGCGTAATCCTACGAAGAAGGCCTGGAAAAATGGGGACACAGGCGTTCTGCCGGGTGGTTGAACGAGCAAGTTATGACTGCATGACATAGGGGATGACAACTACTTTCTAACTAATAAGGCTGCAGTGAGTTTGCTCCGATTCAGCGACTTAGCGAAAAGTGCACTAGACTGTGCTCTCAACGATTCGTTACTGTAGGATGGCGACAGCTAATGCGCCTACTGAGTCACTCGGCAAGCAGTGTTGCGTCCAAATGCTGATGAGGTGTTGTCGACAGCCACCATGGCCATGTCTGGCGCCCTTACTGAGGGACCCCCGTTGTGTCAGGGCTATTCACCTTCACAGTGAGCGGTCCCAGACGCACTGACCTGCAGACACTCGACCGATTTCAACACGGACGCACATGCATCTACGGGGTTGCAGCTGCCCATAGGCCACTTGAACACACTACCCTCCCCCTCCCCCGCTGCGAATGCAATACAAGCTATTTGTACACCACTATTCGACAAACCAACACACACCAGCTAGACAACACTTCAGATTTCCCCAGAAACCTACAAAATCAGCTGCCATCACTGTCTCAGAAACTCTCAGACATGACTGGGTGCAGTCAACAACAGGCCTAGTTTCGCCACTGACCACTGTCGCCTGGGTGGACAACTTACTGCCTTGCACACAATAGACCCCTCAGTCTGTTGACTTCTGTCTTTTCCTACAACACGGACTTTGGTCTGGTAATTTTAGAACTCTGAGTACAAATTCTCAACGCTTAGCTGTTAAGGTGGCAGCAACTTCAAGTAAATCACTGCCGCTTACAATTTTAGATGGTTTCGCGAACATAAAATATCGTTGACCGTATCCTAAGGAGGTTGGTTAAGTGGTCGATGCTGTGTTCCTGTTTGCTGGCTATTTTGCGGATAGCGCCGTTGTGTACTTTTTGCTCCGCATTAATCGCCGAAACCTGTGGATGGTTGCCGACAAGGAATACTCCACGATATCAGTTTAGAACTTAGGAAATTAGTGCAGTCAGCATCACATACGCGAAGTCTAGGCAGCAAACAACTTAATTAATAGACTGGTAGAAGAGGTGGATAAAATTTCGAAGATTGAAAGGGACTGGGCGATCGTCAGTAGGCTAAACGGTGCTGTAACAGCTTTTATTTCTGTTAATCGGGTTGGCCGCTACTTGTTTGTGAACTCTGACAGGAGGGAGTTTGGACTGGCTGATATGCCTGTGGAAAGTGGCAAAAATCTCTGGGACCAGTTCCTAAATATAATGATGTTTAGGATCTGATAACAGATGCATGACGATGAATAGCCTATAGTATCCCAAAACAAGTACTTAAAGATATGAACAGCCAATGACGGAGTGTCTGGCAGTGACAACTTCAAACATAGTTCTGAACTTTATTGTAGCAGCTCAATGACTATAGGCCGCAAGAGGCTGAGGGCTGACCCGAACGTGTTGTCATTGTTAGTACATGCGGTGAGTTCGAGTCTGTTTGATATCGCGACCAAGTTAGAGTGGAATGACTAACAGAGGATCTAATATAACTTTTTGACAAACACGACTCTAGTCTTTTAACTGCCAACACAATCGCCTGCAGACTGGGATGAACTTCATTGAGGTTGCGCAGTTCGGGTTTGAGAACATGAGGAAAAACAGAAGAAAGGTTTCAGTTATCAACTCGAAAAACCCGACAGCCGCATAGAATTTATCCAGCACTACTCTCAAATCGGATTCAATGCGGTGCATAAGGTAACGCAAGTGTCAACTGGAAGTAACAGCTTGCCAGTATCTTTTCCGTTTTTAAATACGATCGCATAAACACTTAACAAAACCCCAAAGTCAGACAAAGGCCAGTTTACTTTTCCGAAATGAGACGCTGATGCAGGACACCATACGATGCTCCACACCCAGCAGACTTCGAAAAGTCACTTCTTCCATTCCATACTCCAAGAAAGTCGCCACAGAGGCTCTTTAGTCTGTGATTCAAAGTAACGACCTCTGTGGCAGAGATCGCTGGGGCTTCAATAGGACCAGGCACTTAGTTGCTCGCTACTTTCTAGGACGCCCACAATTCCTATTTATTAAACGCTGACGCAAATTACGGGTCTAAGAAGCCGACAGGGAGTGGGTCGGGGTTGTCGTTTTGTGCGTCATGGAAACGAACATACTCCATCTACAGCGGCCAGTCGGTAAGCAGTCAACCATCGAGCATCGTCAGTGCATGCCACGGGAGGAAACAGCATGCGTAACGCAGTTGAGTGGCTACGGAATTACAAACGTTTTGATGCCTTGCCGACTGACTGCTAACTGGTGACATCCTATTCTGAAATAAGTGCTTCAGGATGTTCCACAATCTGGACGCAGACCTAATAGATTTAGCCTTATCACCAAACGCGCACGACAGGGAAAGAGACCATGTGTGCAGTCTAGTACAGTCACTAGAACTATTATCAGACCATCGACGAAGAAAATATTGTTTAACAGCCCCAGAACCGAAAGGGGAATGATACAAAAGTAATTTTGCCGGAGTCTACAGTGGGCAATTATGTCTATATATATGAGTCATTTTTTCGAATATGGAGACCCTGATGGTGGATTGTGTTTACGTGGTGTCTCTGTCTGTCAGTTAATGGTCAAATGGAATGGTTTCTGTCCATGCGCGGAAAATGACCTGAATGGGCGGACATTGCGATCCATCCATCTACCAGACGGTGATAAAGGAGTCGTGCAGGGAATGCCCGAGAGGCGAGGTGTCAATGCTGACTGGGGGCATGCCATAGTACATCTTCCAATATGGCGAAGCTTCTTTATCAGAGTATGCATTTTCGAACCGCCGAAGGGAAGGCCTATCCCAAATCACTACCTTGGTCACCTGAATTCTTGAATCTCTTTTTTAATGAATGTTCTGGGGATTGGTTAGGTTGCAGTTTTGCAGGCCATTCCATATTCCACTTTATAAGCCTCACAACTACTCGGTAGGAAGGCATTAATGTGCTTTTCATTTTACTCACTAAAATTACCTAGTAAAGGTGTAATGACCTTGATAAATATGTACTACTAAGATGAGAACAGGGGCAGTGACTATCTGCAAATAATTAATAACACCTTTTTTGAAAGTCTCGGGCGGTCAGTTTTATTTACTCCCCGATCTCTGTCAATGCGGTGGGCTTTATTTTATGTGATGGATTGGTTTACTTTCAATGAAAACTAGCAGATAAGCGTTTAACATATTCCTGCTTATTGCAACAAGTAAAAGGTACCCGTCTGTGCTTTTCTGCATATTTACTTGAAGTAATTTTGAAAAGTCTATTATAAACAGTGCTACTTAGCAGATTAGTTTTAGCAATGTTTTTTCCTTAACCCTCGGCTAGAAGCAGGCTTACCAAAAATGTAACTGGCTCTCGTAATCTTTTGTACCGCTTTACGTTTCAGTTCAGCGAATATTCTCATGTTACAATTGAAAAGTCAAATTGGCGAACACGTGTTTTCAGTAACTCTTCATCAGGCCAAAACGGTTACAATGAAGTTTAAGTTATGCGAATTACATGACTTATAAATGATTCGGGGACAATTAACATCGATCGTTCCCACACCACTCGCATGACGAGGCGTGCTATGGCGTGGTCGGCGTGTCGTGGTCATTGGGTTCAGGGGGCGAGGAAGAGGGGGGGCATACGCTGTGAGTACGTCGGGTACCTTGTGCACACACCCTGGCATCAGGAGGTTGGGGAGACGTTGGTGTCGGCGTCGGCCACGGAAGACAGAGCGCCTGTGTCAGAGTCTTCTGACAGCATAGCACTGGATTGGCTAGCCGTATAGCCACTGCCTCAGCTGTAGCTAGCACCCGTTGGCGTAGGCCTTTGGAGAAGCCTGCTGGTGTCCGGTAGACAATCTGAAAGGCTTCTTTGGCATCGACTCGGTGATTCGTATCGACAAGATGTGCAAGAATAGAACTCAAGATCGATTTCTTCTCACCTTTGCCTAGCCAGGCCGGTATGTGTTCACGTACTCTCTTTTCCAAGCGTAGGAGGGGAGAGTTAGTGAAACACACACGTAAGTTCGCCGCGGGGAAAGCGTTAGTGATCGCTGTCTTCAGACGTCTTTTTACTAGTTCACTCGCTGCGTCCCCTTGAAAAGGCAATCTTATAAATAAGTCCTTCTTTTCTGCAGTTGCCATGGTAGGCTTTGCAGTGCGCTCCCCTATATTTCGAAGGATAAATCTTTCTGGGTATCCATTTGCGTGGAGTGTATCCCGCAGCTGCTGGAGTTATGCATCCACAGTCTCAGGAGAGCAGATACGTCGCACTCTAGCTGCCAATCCCTGGACCAAGTTGCGTTTAATATTAAGGGGAACAAAACTGTGAAAGTTAGTGTATTGTCCCGTCCAGGTTTTCTTTCGGAATACGCTACGTTGGATAGAGTGGCTATACGGCTAGCCAATCCAGTGCTATGCTGTCAGAAGACTCTGACACAGGCGCTCTGTCTTCCGTGGCCGACGCCGACACCAACGTCTCCCCAACCTCCTGATGCCAGGGTGTGTGCACAAGGTACCCGACGTACTCACAGCGTATGCCCCCCCTCTTCCTCGCCCCCTGAACCCAATGACCACGACACGCCGACCACGCCATAGCACGCCTCGTCATGCGAGTGGTGTGGGAACGATCGATGTTAATTGTCCCCGAATCATTTATAAGTCATGTAATTCGCATAACTTAAACTTCATTGTAACCGTTTTGGCCTGATGAAGAGTTACTGAAAACACGTGTTCGCCAATTTGACTTTACGTTTCAATTGCTCATCGGAATGTGACAATTTTTAATGCCTCTGTCTCCATTCTAGAGGGCACTGAATATTTACGCATAAAATGTAACAGATATTCAAATTGGGCAGTGAGTAATCCGAGTAGTAAACTATGCATTTAATATGATCTCATCCCGAATGAAAAAATACCTCCTTGTATTAACAAGAAAAAAATTAAATTATCACTACGACCCTCCGCTTGTTTTTATCATTTACGATAGCAGGAAAATCTGTCACCAGTACATAACTTCCTGAATAAGAACTCGGAGAATCTAACGAATTTACTTTTATTCGGATGAATCCGATTATATTAGACATTGCTAACCAATGAACGTGCAGTGCTGATGCTCTCCGTCAACAACAGGGTCTAGTCGAACTGCATTTATCATTAATGTATGGATTTAATGCTTTTAGAGTCATGCTACTAAAATCTACGTCGATGTCCCACTTTATACCGGTTGTTCTATCCCCAGGATTAGTAAAAGTGTAAACTTTACACGAAGACTTTTGTGCAAATATAGAGGTCTTTGTCTCAACGGTAATCTGAGTAAAAGCATAATGCCATGATTTGCTGCCGTGCTATCATTAGCCCTGAACTAAAAAATGTGAGTGATAAAAATTTTCATAATTTACGTGGTGACAAAACATTTGTAAACGGCAAGTGAGCGCAAAGAGCGTATGAATGGTCTCATCCCCTACACCGATCAATGAACCGATACTATTTATAATGTCAAAAATTAATGTCAGCTAGGATTTTCGGTGTCTTGTCGGGGATTAAAATGAAGCGCCGTTCAGAGGCAGACAGGAATTGAAAGCAGTCAGGCTCTGGTTTGTGCGGCCTCGGCGGTTGTGCCGCAATCATCAAAGACTTTCAACCTGTTTTCAAACAGAATTGAGTTTGGTCAGTCTCTGATAATGCTCCTTAAAAGAAAAGCAGATTAGGCGCAGAATGGAATTATATTTTTTGAAAATTTTCCCAGTAGTAATGGAACAAATCATACAATCATGATGGCATACTAATAAGTTCTCACAACAGGCCGTTCAGGGTATGAATCACAAATGCATATAAGTAGTTCGTGACTAACACTGCGTCAGTCTTCTGGCATATCGGATCCTTAGAATTCTAGAAGGTTAAAATAAAGCAAACGAGCCTTCATTATTTACGACCAGAAAAGCCGACTTGACTACAATCGCCCTGAAAAGTAATGCCCATTAAAAACATTACAAAAGCTGGACCGAAAGCCTCTTGTGATGCATTCCCTGCGTTCATCGTGCAAATAAAGGTAACGGGGAGACTATAATTAAGTCTTCTTATTTAAATGCATCATACGTTTGACAGTGTTTTAAAACAAACACTAGCAAACTTTCGGTAACTAGAAAGTGGAGGGCTATGGTTACGATGATATAAAAATTACGGGTTCGGATTCCTGAACGTTTTAGCCTTAAATACAGAGACCTGTCTGAATTATCAACTTAAACGAGATTTTTCCAGCCATCAATATACCTCCTGCAAAATAAGTCGGTTATACTAAATATCAAATTTTTGCTGAGAGTTCCAGCTTTGGTGGCTCCGAACGGATGTTATAGATAATTTTTCTTCTACACCTAGATACTCTCTTTTGACGACAGCATTGAGGACTGGCGGATTGCCTGGGACAGAAGACGAGTTCTTAGATTGGCTGTGGAAATTCTGATTTGTGCTGTGCACCCCTTTCCTGGAGACTTTAAATTCAGCTGGTTTTCAACATATCATTTCCATACCAATGCCATACTGTCTCCTTGTTCGCAATGTCAGAATGGCTCGATTGTGAGTCAGAGCGGAATGAAAGAAATTCGCCCGCCGCTTCAGGGCTCGGTCGATTTCGCTACTTTCGGAACTAGTGCTCCCCTCTCCGCAAACTCCGGTACATATGTCGTCTTCCCCACAACTCGGGTTGTCCCCGTAGACATCTTTCTCTCTCTCCCCATGTTTCTGCGTTTGTACCTAGTATTCAGAGTGGTTGTCCTACATTCTAAACTATTTACTGATACTGGCTCCAGAAGCATCGGAGCAATGAACAAGGTCAGCATTGATACGTCCTTCATCTTCAAAACATTTATGACCATCAGTCCTGGCACAATACTTGTGGGATTCATCCTTGGTTTTTGGCTGGTGCTGTCCTGGACACTTCGTGTTTGTGAAAGGTAATCTTGATCAATTTTCTCATACTTCCCACCTAAGCTTTAGACATTTCACCGCTGTTCTGGTGCTAAGCATGCGCTAGACGGAGTCAGTGGGACCATTTAAAACAGCCTCGAAGTTGCATGGACTGTTCCCTTAGCCAGAACTAAGTCCACATGTCCTTTAACATAGACCTTATTTGATTTAGTAACCAGGATTCCCAGCTGTCTGTGTTAGTGGTAGGGGGACGCTCACCGATCGCGATACGGAACTCACTCGTCCCGTTGTGCCTTGGGGTTCTCTCTTAGGCTCCGCCAGCAGCCGCATGGCAGAGCGCATTTGTTTTAGTTGCCTAATTTATGTACGCATCTAACAGATGTGTGCCAGTCCAAAATTCTAACAAAAAAACGACTCTGATGGTATTCTCACATCAATATTTCCATTTGTCTTGAATTACTTTTTAACTGCAGTTATTTGTTTTTGCTCACGGAAAGTTTATAATGACAGTACATGCAAGTGTTATTATATGACTAAGGGGAATCTGACATCTTGTACTGATAAAAGTTGATTTCAGCTGGAAATTTATTTGGCGAGATATATTTGAAAATGTCGCAGAATTATTTGCCGGAAAACCGTACCTACTGGTAATTGCAGTGTCCAAGATTTAGGTATATGTGTGAATGTTCAGCTCACCGTTTTTATCATATCATCTTCAAGATGGGTGAAGTTCTTTGCTCTACATAATAGGATGTGCTTCTTAAACTCGAAAACGCCGTTCAGCTTCTAAGATCTTTGCAGCTTGCTTCCTAAACCTACTTGGGAATAATTTATCAAAAATGACTTTTTAACTGAAACAAATCCCTGTAAACAAAATAGCTTCCCTATGGGCTGTCAGCAAAAGATTAGTTGGGAGAAGGCGTGATTCGAGAACTCAATCTCCAAAGCGTTCTTCTTTTGGGAGGCAAAAAAAATCGAACAAACCGTTTTGTCCAGTAGCGGGCTTACCAAGTAAGTAAAAAAAATGCAGGTTTATTGTTGAATGCAAGGCAACGCAAATCCCGTTGACTCCCTCACGGATTAAGAACGGTCTTCGTTGTTGTTTAGGGAGAGCAACTTGACACTCAACATTGTATGTCTTATGAAGTCACACTGATTGCCAGCACGACCTTTTGGGCGTTAGACGGTCAACTAGACGCGTTTACGGAACATGCGACGGCTACCATGGCAAACGTGAAAAAAATTACTTAGTATTTAGCACTAACAGGACATTCAGAGCAATCCGTTTTCTTTCAGTATCTGTTAGGTTGAGTGTAGGTGGTCACGAAGTTCTGATTTGAGGGCAGGTCGACGATGGGCGTGGCCTCGCAATTAAAAACACAGTCTGTATCAGGCATGTAGTTAGGTACCTTTACAAGAGCTCGGGCTCATATTCTGGCAAAAACAGTACTGTGGAGTAGTTCAAAACATATATAGGTGAAGTCCGACCAGACTACGTGAAAATTCCACTGGCGGACCCGTCCCAAAAGACGGACGTCTGATGGCGGATTTATTGTGTGGAGAGACACTTCTACGGGGAAACCGTAAATGATGATACTTTTGAATAACTGTTAAATTGCATGGCTTAAACCGACGACCCATGAAGAACGTTCATTCGTTATGCTCTGCAAAGTACGAATGCCCACGGCTTGTTCATGTATAAGGAAATCTGAAGTTTAATGGCTTTTTCTCCAAAATCAGTCGTATTTACTGTTGTCGTGCAGATTGCTCTAACTTCGACAGAAGTCAGAATTTGTAAACCTACAAACTAACTACTCATCAAGTGACTTTAAGTTCACATCACTGAGCATAGAGACGCGACTGTTTAATCTTCGAAATACTTGACGCAAAACGGATCAGCCCTGATCCGTACAAACAGTTCTGTAGCACAAAAAAACTATGAACATGAGGAAGTAACGGAGTCATATAAAATGTTACTCAGAACGGAGATGGACTAACGATCCCTACATTGAATGTAGGTTGGTTTTTTGGAGTCCGAAACTGCCGGGGTATGCGTTCCATCTCTGCAGACAAGTCCCTATTCAGTATGTCGCTGTTTTGCCGAAAGTATAGCGGAAGCAGTTTGGACAATCAAAGTTAATAGTCAGGTATGCGCTTAGAATATTATCGAGTTTTTTTCTTAATACGAAAACATTCCGAACAGACAAGGAAAATAGAAAACTAACAGGTAGCATGACAGCAGTGTAGTTCAGGAGTTTGAAAACCTAACATGAATGCCGCGTTTCGGTTTCGCAATGTATCAGAGTCTCTTTAATCCTATTATTTTTCCATTTTAAGAGCGTATGCATTTATTGGGCAATTTATGCTATTAAGACTAAATTTCGAGTTCCAGGTGTATGCATAAGTGAAGAAGAAGAGTCGAGCACCGGAACACTTTGTTTATTGTCCTGAGCTTTCAGACTCGTACAGGAGTAGTACATCGCATTCAGTGTCAAAATTGTTCTTGTAACTAGACAGAGCAGACTGGGCGCATGTTCGGATCGCGCATACACGAACATAAGCTGGCTGTTAGACGATGCGACTCATTATCACAAATAGCAGCTCACAACTACGAAATGGGTACGAGTTTAACTTCGCAACCGCCAAAATATTCGCCCACGCCGGAAACAAAACAGGCTGAGAATTGATTGAAGCCTGGGCCTCGGATGAGAACTCGGTCAATCGATTTATCGATCAAGCGCCGGCGTACAGAGCCCTGCCCAGTCACCTCCAGTCTTGCGCCGTCGGTCGAGGATTGGCCTACATGCCCTTTAACTATCGCTTGTTCTGCTGCTACTACTACCTCTGACGATGGACTCCTGTACGAGTCTGAAAGCTCAGGACAATAAACAAAATCTTCCGGTGCTCGATTCTTCTTATTCACCATTTCTTGCTATGCCATGCGTCTAGCAGATTAACATACACATGCGTCTGTCTTCGGCAATACCGGGAAAACATTATGAAGACCGAAAATAGGCTTGGGACACTAGTCACTAAGGTAATTTTTATTTTATGGACAGTCGGCACCAATGGACACTAGCAGGATCGGTGACTGAACTGCACCCTAAGACATGCGCCTGCTGAATGTGCTAGTTTCCTATTTTACAGCTGGTACTTTTCTAGTTTTTCGATCGGGAAGGCCTTGCGAACTAGGGCAATTAACTTTGTATTTGACGGCACGTTGCGCAACATCATTAAAAGTCCACCAAGCATAATTTCTGTACTGTGTCTGGAGGGTGTGTGTAGAAGACTCGATCTGAATAGACGAATCACAAGCCCTTTGAAAGTCCGTTTGCCTGTCTCGCATGCTCGACCCAGGGAAAATGTCCAACTATTTGATTATTACCGTAACTCATAATTCGTGTACTAATGCTGCGTATATTCAGACGAAATGAGTAAATCATTTTTTCAGGATAACTTCCTGGCAAATTAAATACCTAAAATCTCATTATGACAGCTAATGACCTCGGAAGGAGAAAAGAAGACAGCAGTCCTTCATGTGTTTCTTTACGAGATTTCGGATTTGACCCTAGAAGGCCTACAGACTAATATGTATCAAAAATTCCCTGCGTTGCCAAGTCAATTTGTTCTATTGATCGATGGGATGCAAGACATTTGCAAATCTGCTCTGCCTGGACTGCCATAAACGTTGACAGTTCGTTACAATCATAAGGACGACAGCTTACAGGTGGACAACGAAAATGATTGCTTCCGTGCAAATATAATAGGAAATATATGACATAGATAAGTTTGAAATAGGACGTTTTTCCAGTGCGCTTGGGATAGATTTCAAACAATAAAAGCTCACGACATGTTTCGAGACATCAGTTCAGATGCAAAAGTGTAGGAAGCATTGCGAAAATCGAGGCCTTGACAGGCCGGCAAAAATCGAACGTTTATGAAAATCGCCCGCGGCATTTCCATGTGGACGTTTGTGACCCCAACTTTAAACTGTGAAGATTTCTTCCGTTTTATATAATACTTGTTATTGAGTGTTTTCAAGATTATAAAATAAAGAAGCATTCTTCTGTCATTCTGCATTTGTGCATTTATAATTGTGTCCATGAATTCACGGCTGCGGGTGGCACAACGTCCAAACTCAATACGTGTACTACGATGTCACCTAAACTTAAAACAGAAGTTGCTTCTGATTGCAGGCAAAATTTTCATTACATCTTTTCGATGACTTTAGTGGTATTTACGACCCGGCGCTGGGGACAATTTTCAATGCAATGTGGCTGATAGCCGTTACCTTTTTAAGTATCGGCTATGGTGACGTTGTTGCTAATACCTACTGCGGCCGGTCAATATCCATCATTACTGGAGTACTGGTAAGCGGACGAAAAGTTTGGATACAGTCTTTGTCCAATCCTATAAAACGAACTTTAAGAAAAAATAAATTGACCTTTTCTGAAAACATTCCACCCAAGTCTCTCTGGGGTGTATTTGCCATTGTATCATTGAGGTAATTGCTGAGACCCTAAATAACCTTAGTTGTGCAGTAATCAGAGAAGAAGAAGGAACGGTTTGGACTAATCTCTGTTATATAGAAAATAATATGAAAAACGTCCTGGTGCTGCTCACCATGAATTGTCCTCGTTCTGCGATGCGACATTTTTTTCATGGACTTAGGGCCTGTTTAACAGAAACATCGTTTTGTTTACTGAGGATCGCACGTCTTGTAAAGCTTTCGCCCAACGTTATGCGTTAGCTCACATTACACGTTAGCCTAACGAGCCAATATCATGCTTTTGTTTTGTCAGTGACAATAAAACTGCCATTGTTGATAGAGAAATGTCGGCAGTTTGTAGCTATGAATGAGATATTATGCCGCTTTTCTGAATTTTCATCATCCATCGTTAGAAGGATTTTTAAAATTCCCTTCTTCTTTGACCACCTCATAATGGTTTGCACTTTCCGTACTTTCCTACACTACAGATTTACCTGCGTAAATCGCTCGATTGCCTCATTATTATTTTCAATGCCTGCGCTTGTTAAAATGTGCCTTGTATATTTTATGAGTCAGGCATTTTAACTGAACAATTAACAGAAGCTTGTACTCAGCAAGATAAAAGGAAGCGACTACTTGCTTGCACTTTGTTCGCAGATGCCGTGCAGAGCTTGAGCAGGGAAATTCCGGCGTCTGATGCAGTTAATCCAGGGGCTGCTGGAGGGCGAGTTGATTTGTTTAGGTGAAAGGTCTAACTAAGAAAAACGTGCTCTTTCACAGCGGCGAGGAAACACTGTCTAGATATATATTTTCTAGTTTTTTCAACCTGCTGCACGGTGTCGCCTTGGTTTTCTTGTTTTTGTTCGTAGCATTGTTTCATCTTTGTTTTCCGACCTTGTTTAAAATAAGCAGTTGGGGGGGGGGCTCTGATTCAAACTTCCCGCCGATAATAACTCAGACCGAAAGTGTTTCGATATCGCCGTCAAATGCTGATGCTTAATACAAGCAAGCAGTTATGTCTAGTATTTTTGTAGTTATAGATCTACAGTTTTGCAAATGATCCTCTTTATAGTGTGCCTGCAAAAGAGGCGAAATTTTTTGCATAACTGGCTTTTTATCCTTCAGCACGCCTATTTAAACCTACACGACATCACAAACATTAATGTTTATGATCATTTCCGACTAGCGAACCGGGGCTTTATGCAACCGTTTTTTACGCAGTTCTGCATTTTCAAAAAAAAACGTAAAGTTTACTGAGCTTGTATTGATAACATTCTTTTATTTTACTGATCCACTGAGTCTCCAACTAGCTCGTTTATATGCGATAAACCTGCTCCATCATAGTAGATATACATGCATGCTTCCGCAGACCTCAACTGTGCCACAGTATAAGAATTTCATCGTAGGCAGATAAAAACCTTTCGAACTGCCGTATAAGTTTTGTTCCAAAACGGCACTAAACAGAAACATAAGAAAAACGAATATCCTCTACCTTGACTGCGAGACGGAGAGTGGCATAGCATTTCTTTATCTCTCTAGACCTGACGGCTAACAGCCCACTTTTCCCACAATTTAGCCGGGAACGCTTACTACGGTGCTCCTCTTTCGGCAAAAATCATCCCATTGTTTATCTGATCACGAAGTCGACCAGTCACATTGAGTAGTTCTAAATAAGTAGAAACGTTTTGCTCATGACAGCAATTTGGAACGATATGTACTTTCACTTTAGCATTGATAAACAATTTTAGCGATATTTATCTCGCTAGTCTTACCTATCACGGTCGAAAATTGCAAATTACATTAATGTTAAATTAAACAATTGACGGGAGACATTTGTTTTCTTCAAGAACGTGGGAGCGTGGTCAGTAGGCTGACAACAGTACCTTTTGCGAATTTACAGTCAACAACATTCAATTTAAAACTGACCATGTTATGCCTTTTCGTATTTCAATGTATAGTTTTGTCCATGTGTCAAGAGATAAGGACAAAATGTTGTCAGAAGTAAGTCGAAATATTAAGTTCACACATCCTCTACGTCGGTCAAACTAAACGGGGCAAAATCAAAATAACTGCAAGAGTTGGTATTTGTATACAATGAGTATTCTGTTCAGTTATTTTTGTTCAAGCCTTGCTCAGTGAGTAAAAGAAGCTCCTCAGCATTATGAGATCCATAGTCGGGAAGGTTTTCAGGTCTAGGTGTATTGTAAAATATGCCCCCTCCTCCGGGCGATGCAGTTTTTATGTAAATCAGGCAAGGTCGGCTACATTAACAAAACCACTCGTTGCCAGCATAATCACCTTATTTGATGGCACACCTTGATTAAACCATTCAGAACTAACCGTTTTACCCTTTGAAAGCCCAATTGTGCAAGGAAACTATACCAGAACTGATCTGACCCTGAATAAGATGAAAATTCAATGCCACAGGAGCCAGACATCAACAGGGTAGACTGGCAGTAAACCTGTACTGTTTCGTTTCAAGAGCCGAAAGGCAGCTGTGCAAGTATCCACCCTAAGGCTTCTTAACTAATTCAGAAAATAAAATACCAACGGAGAGTTATTTCCTCGAGGCAAAGTGTTTAGGATTTAACCAATAGCTGGTATGAATATTTAGGTTGGAAGCTACAAAATTCCACGGAAACAATGACGTAATATTCACGGGCGGGCAACGGGCGGTTAGTGGCATGTAAATGTCAGGTTACAGCGCAAAATATTCCAGCTATTGCCCTTGCCGCCAGTTCGATTACTCCTTCACACGCCAAGCCAATAATGGAACCAATTGATTGGGCCAGGTGGCCACTAACATCAGTTGCATTGGAACTTTAGGTGCACTGAAGAACTTATATAATTGCCTAATGTAGTGTGAGCTGTATCTCAGGAGTGAAGTCGGAAGAAAAGAGATCAGACAAAAAAGTGCGTTCAAATAAAGTCTAACTATCGCGCTCGGATATATTCTTAGAAGTTAAAGTTTGTTGACCGAATTTTGATTGTTGAGGGCCTGACATGTACCTAGAACCTTTGCTCGAAAATCGACTGCGTCAGCATCTCATTTTCCAACCTCCTACGTTCCAGAGCATTTGACGGAACGTCTCAACAATAGGCATCTTCGCAAGTCTGCAAAAGATTAGCTATATTCATATTTCGCGTTCGGAAACGACTAGAAGAACACAGCCTCGTAAAATGGACATCCTAGTGGTATTCGATGGACATTTCTGGAGGCGGTCGGCAGTCCTCGCACCTTCTTACTGAATTTGATTCGAAAATGGACACAATCTACTGAATGTCCAATTGTTATTGTAGAAGCGTAGCAAGAATAACCTCGTATTTATCTGAACGCCATTAGCCCGGCTTTGGTTGAATCAAATTATCGGTAAATTATATAGAAAATTGTGACTACAATACAAACAGCAGGCGTAATCAAACGAAGGGCAAATGCCGGGAGTACTGCGGCCAAGGTATACGTGAGAAAGGGCAGAGTGCATATGTGAAGCGACGGATTTAGGGTTAATCTGCGGAATCGTCCATCTGTGATGAAAATTCAAAAATGAAATAAGTCTATCCCAGCTGGTTACTTCTTCAATTAAGATGGCGGTTTCAAGTAGCACACTTGCAGTCGCGAACATTTTGAGTGTAAATATAAGCTGTAAAGGCAGAGGATCTGGCGTAATTGCGCTCACATTTTATGTTCGACATTTAGCCTCTCATTTAGCCTCCAAAATTTAGCTAGCATTCCATCTTTGGCAAAATGACACTTCGCATTTTGAGCATGATATTCCTTTGTCGTGTCAGCTAGAGACTGCATAAATCAGAGAACGATAATTGGTCTGGTCTGTCGTATGCCAACCACCAACTTGTTAATAAACTGGTACTCGGGGCCAATAAAATCAAGGATCTTCGTCTTATCCCTTCTGTGGTCATTTAATGTGATCAACGGACCAGTACAATATTTTTCACCCAGTCAGTTGATGCTTGTCCGCAGGACAGAAAAAACCTAAAATCATACAGCACAGAACTCTAAAATACTGTTGCAAACGGAAAAGCTAATGGTATGTCCTGCCTTCTAGATGAAGCCGTTAGAGAGAGCAGTGTAAAGCGCCTGAGTAAAAGCTGCCACAGAAACTCCTAGATGTTAATCTATCCTGCCGTTGTTGTCACATTCAAGGAAACGCATATGTTTCACTCTGCGTACGACAAGTTGCAGTTTGTTAACTTTTCTTAGGAATGCCACAGAGTGACATGTTGAATTGCACTGACGCCGGCAATGCCACCAATTTGGGCAGTACCGACAAATGCAGGTGCAGGCAAAGGGCTGTTTGATCTACCCGAAATTTTATTGCCTAAGGTGTTGTGTACTTGATTGACGAGTCATTTCGAGTAGCAAAAGAATTGCACATTGCCTTTACGTGAGATTCTTTGGTGGTGGTCAGAATGCGGGTTGCAAGTTTCCCCGATACCGGATATAAGTTGCTAGACTTAACAATCTTGCAATTAAGAACACCGCATTCTGGCACACGCGCATGTATGTATCTGACTGAATTAGTTGAGGGAGCTGACCTTCTACACACAAAAAGCTGCTACATGCTTTGATTTGCCGTCTTCAAAAGAGTAAAGCAACTGAAGATATTCCTAGGGAAAGCTTTAAAAATTTGATGAATTTGGTGCAGTTAACCTTTTCTCAATAAAAATTGCTTATCACTTGTTGCCACCAAAAGACGGCTTCTTAGCACTTCGGAAAATATAAAGACGTCTCCCAAATTTCAGTTAAAAGTACTTTTCTTCACTTTCTACGCTGATGAGGCTAACGATCACCAGTCTGTTTTGTTACTTATTTATGCTCAGGAAACATAAAATCTGGCTAATGGACCGAAAAATGCACTGCCGGCGAGGCAAAGTGGGTTTGCTGTTAAGTAAAACTTTAGTTCTGGGGAAAATGGGGAAAATTACTTGGTCAAAAGAAAAAGTCCAATTTTGCCAAGTCTTGGCCTGTTTTCCATCCATAAAACAGATCCGAAGTGTATCCTTCCCTATTAGAAAGCTTCCTATGCCTCATGTCAATTTAGTATCCAAAAGGAACCACAGGAAATGTGTGTGGAACCAACCCCCCAAATACCGATCAGCACATTTCACAACTTGGGTCACCTACTGTAATTCAGAAATGACCAATCATAAAAACGCTGACAGAGGTTTTTGGGTGCCGAAAATTATGTCCACAACTGACAAGTGTTAATATTTAGAACTAAGTCCTTCTACTCCAAGTGGTTCTTAAAACAATCCTTCTCACGAACTCAATTGCAGTCCTGGGAAAAGTGAAGGAAATCCCATCAAAACCAATGAACTAATTGTTCCGAAGTGTTTTGACAGATTTCAAACAATTCACTTTAACCCAATGGTGAAAAACTCGGTGACTCAGTGGGATTCGAACCCACGCAGCCAGGGGAAGCTTTAGTACAGACAACGCTCCAACCATCTTGGCGGGTACATTTGATCCAAATTTGATTAAACTCGCGTCGTCCGACGGGTCCTCATAGCTCAGATGGTTCGAGCGTTGACTGTACTAAAGTCTCCTCATGCTGTCTTGGGTTCGAATCCCACCGAGGAATCGCGTTTTTCACAGTTGGGTCAAAGTGAATTAATTGTTGTCAAAGACTGTCCAAATAGGCTGCCATTAAGCATATTCCAAAAAATGTCTTAGCGACTATTTTGTCACGTAATAGGACGCCAGAGGGAAGAATTATATGGGGTTTGAAGGCCGCTGGTAGAGAACCTATGCGGTACCTTGCATAGTAGTTACGTCTACTTGCATTTTTATATCCCGAAAACCCGCATTCCAGGTGTCGATGCAGTCTTGCTGTCAAAACCCATTTCCACCAGAAACCTTCAATTAACAAGGTGGTTAAGTTGAAACTCGCAAGTCGAAATCATAAAAGTAGAAAATACACGGCTTGTCAGCCTCACACTGGGGTTTCATTTTATGGGCACGCCCGATTTTTTACGAAAGCAAACTCAACACGCTAATTGTCTCAGGGTTAGTAATGTAACGCGGATTTGAATCCAACACCTAAAACTTTTAAAAAAGTTTAGTGCTGGGCACTGATGTCTAGTTGACATTTTAAAGGTTGTACGCTTAAGGAAGCTCTGCACTCCAATAAGAACAATTGAGAAACACCAAACTTGAGATTTCCATTCGCTCAATAAATGCTCAAAATGTGGTTTTTAATAACACGATTATAAGGACCAAATATAACTTTCAGTGCACGGTTAGAAAGTTTTCAAACATATACACCTTTGTAGATCAAGCTTTTACCGGGCGTCTGAACGGATTAAACTTCATTTTTTACAATTCTACAGTTATTTGTATTTGTGACAGACATTAAATATTATTTCCCTCCAGTGTCAAGGACGGATGAGTTAATCTCCGTTAGAATCAAAAAGTGACCACTTTTAAAGTCAGTTACACTTCTTTTTTCGTGTCATAGCTATAGATTAGTTGCAATACAAACTGGACACACTAACAATTAATGACGAATTTTTTGTACTTTAAAACACCTAACACCCTATATGCCGCTACTATCAAACACTTAGGTAGATAAAAGTCTGCGTGCGCAGATGCGGGTTGAGGGCTCAGGCAAACCCAACACGATGGGTAATATATTCGTTTTATTTTCGCCATGTATTCCCTGGAGCTCTATCTATCACTTATTTTTAACTTACCTTTTAGACGCTTTCATAAATTAAGGCCCATTGTGATTGTAATTAAGATACATTGAGACGAGTTTATGGGGATTTTGTCTTGTCTCGTCGAATTCCCATGTTTTCTGTTTAGTATTGTGAAATTTTCACATTTTAGGGGTCGCTTTGTACAGCTCTGGTTGTTGCTGTTTTCGCTCGGAGATTGGAACTTTCGAAGGCAGAGAAACACGTCATTCAGTTCATGATGGAAAATCAACTGACGAAGAAGGTGAAGTACATTTTGACGTTTCCTTTTCAACATAAAAACCGTACTGTGATTTTATTTTGTCAAACAGCAAATAGTGACGAGCAAAAAAGCTGAATTACTCGACACGAAAATATGTGCACTGCCTAGTAATAAATTAGTTTTTAGGCTCGGTAAACGAATTAGTCCTAATGTCCCGTGAAACAGTTTTACCCAGTCATTTCAACGAGGAGTTAAATACCCCCATTTGAAGTGTATGCGTCCTTAAGAATGTCTTGAGTCGGCCATTTGTATATAAAAAATTTAGATCGTAGATTTTGTCGAAATCTGCCACTTTTGCTTGGTTTTTTGAATGATCATTGATATCCTGCAGTCACCGATTAAGTATAACGTAAAATAGAGCAGAGGAGTCGCAATGCCTTTCTAATTAGCAGTTTGCACACATCAGCATATCTCCGCCTATTAAACTAAAAAACATGAAGCATTCAAAATATCGGACAAATTATGCTTTAAAAGTAACTTATCAATTTCTATTCTTATCTCAAAGACAACAAACGCTATTTAAACACGCAAATAACGCGTAAGGTTGGCCATCGAAAATCAGCTCAACAAACTGAAACTACCTTGTTTATTTGGTTGGTGCGTACAGTGCTCGCATATCTTTGTAAAAAGGATTTTACGTATTTGTCAACTTTCCTTAGCAGCTTGTTGTACTTATCGGTCTGCACTGATTCGATCCAAAGTTAAAACGCCTTACTGAGTATAAATGAGATCCTCAGGTAACCCGTATCATTTCTTTTAGCAGCATATGGTAAAATACCAGCAACTTTTTGTTGTAAACAACATAAAGTCAACTGAAACCATAATGCGAGGGTTTTTCAGATTGAAGCTTGCTAAATCTTGCCTCAAATTTGAGGTTATACTTACTGAGTTATTATGGAAGCACGCAAGCTCCTCTAGGTTTGTGTGATTTACTTCCAAGCAAGAGCTAACACAGTATGTAAACCGTATGTGAGCACGGTTTCAGCAAATATCACTTTCTAACATAATGAACTCCTGAAATCCCTGGGTATTCTTAAAGCCCCAGCACAAAGCCATCGCTGTCATCGGCCTCCTAATCTGGTCCGTTTTGCCAGACAGTAACTTAATAATTTTGCAATGTGAGCTAGAGCATTTTGTAAGTTTTCACTCTGACAACATACTGTTAGCATTTTAAACTAGAGAGAATTACGTAAAGATAGTAAAGGTCTTCATCAACCGAAAGCATATTAATCCTCTGGGTCAAATTTTCATAACATATCATAAGTTAAAAGAAGCATGTTTTTAAGAATGCCAGTAATAATTACGTTCGACCATAAACCACTGATAGGATTACCTAGATATCAATAAAGACAAAAATTAGATTGATTTGCACTGTGCGTTTAAATGTATGTTTTTTCTTTTTAATCGAATTTTGCCTATAAGAAGAAAAACCATCGCCGATTTGGACGTCAAAACCTTCCAAAATGCAGCAAAACTCTCGCGGAAACTTATTCGCCTGCAGACTATGAGAGCAAAATGCAAAATATGCGAACTGTAAGAAGGGTATTCTCGTGATTTCAAGTCCACTGAGGGGTACTTAAAACAAGCATTTTTGACAAAACATTTAGTGCTTTGAAATATTGCGAGCTGGTAAAGTACTTCATTTGAATGTGTGTCCCCTTCGTACAAGGTAACATACATGGTATATGGGCTCAACTATCATTAACAATGGTCCCTTTCTGGTTGACAATATCTCCCGTACAGTTTTGTGTAAAAGCACATTAACTGCAAATCGCCCTTGCACGCCCAAATTTGTACGAGATTCTGGACCTGCGTTGACGTGGTGCTTACAGTCATGTCGTCACTAGTCACTGTAACCGATGTGATTTGCACGCTCGAGCAATTAAATGATCTTTAGTAGTGCAACATAATTTGAATGCAGCAAATCATAAAATATGCCCTAACCCTTTGAAACCCCCAGTCAGTCGGAAGTTCATTAAAATGCGTCGAACATAGGTTTCAATTACTAGTGATCGAGTGTCGTTTAAATGAAGACAATAAGAGCGTTTAAAGTATTATACCTTTAGTTAGAAACAACAATTTTCCTAAGAAAAGAAGGATTAACAGATAATCAAATATCCGCGTTAAATGCTTGAACTTTATTTGCTTAAATTCTTCGGTTACTTAAGTAACCGAAGGTCTGCTCAAGCAACAGACTTGGTAGATAGAACGACATAGGCAGAGCAACGTTTAAAAAACATTCAGATTTCCGGATTAGATATCACTAAAGATATAATGTACTTTTTCGAATGTCAGCCAGTCAGATGGCTTAAGGTGGCTTTTCTGTGCCAAAACGGTTTCACGGAAATTTGAGATTTTTCCCTTTTGAAATTTACTATGCCAAAGGAGTTGCTGCTTAAATTCGTGGGTAGGGACGTCTAGGAAATTCAAGTTTCCACAAAGTTGTCTGTTGGAAGGTGAGACAGTGACTAGAAGGTTCGCATAAACTTAGTCATAAAGATTCCATTTTTTGTTTATCATGAAAGGTTTTCTTCCGTCGAATAATTTCATGCTTTCTGGCGAGGTTAGTTGAGTTTATTGACGTCCTCTAAGCATTAGTGAATAATTTATGTCCTTCAGAACTCCTAGCAAATTGCCGAAATGATAGGTCCATAGACTCGTGTCTATAAACACCTTCAGGATAGGACGGTTTTTGAAAGCTTCTACTTTAATAATGAATTTTCAAACGTCCCTTTTTATGCAGGTGACGGTCAGTGTATTATTGTCAACTTACCCATACTGGAAATCTAGTGGTGGTGCACAATAACAGCCTGCAATGAATACGCCCTTTCTCAATTTAGAAAAAAAAGATTGTTTATAAGTGTCATTCTAAAAGTAGCTTTGCTATGATATTTCGCCGACGATTTTCATCCTCCCTTCTCTCTAACCAAAACAAAATAGAACATTTTGCCCGTTATGTCCTTTTTCAAAATATATGGATTACGGTTCTGCCTCAAACGACAAAATTATCTTTTCCCTTTTAGTAAAGCCTTTTTGTCATATCTGTCTATTATTAGGCTACGGTGAACGAGTATAAATGTTAAATTTTGAAAAATAAGACTGTCTCTTCGGAACAGGTTTATTAGAATCCTGACGTTCTGGGGAGTTCAGTCGGCTCGCCATCGTCAAAGCCCAAAATGCACTAAATCGAATAGAAATAGAAGTAGCATGCAACGCTGGTCGGCCTCATGCTGATCAATTTTTTTCTTTCGCTGCCTCGGACTTTTAGGGTATATTTGCCGAGGTTTTTAGCTGCGCGCGTCGTTGATCGCCATATCGTCGGGATTAGGTGGCTGGGTCGATGTCGAGGTTGGTCAGTCTATCGGCTCATTTACTTCCTCGTCGAATGAACTCATCGTCGGCCTGTATGTGTTGTCGTCTGGTTCTGAGATTTACGAACGTAATGACGTAGGACTTTGTGAGTTGCAGGAAGGTCCAGATGTTTATTGATGGATTTGGCATCTGAGTACCGCGCTCCAAGTGTTAGCCGTTCTGTCTTTAATTTGTCCCGGCCTAAAATGGTAACTTCATGAAGTTAGAAAGTATGACCAGTTTCTCCAACATGCGCTGCAAGCTTAGAGTTTGGGTTTAGCCTCCAAGTTGCCAATTTGTGCTCCTTCGAGCGGATCTGTAAATTCCGTCCTGTTTCCCCAACGTATTTGCAGTCCCATCACTGCAACCTAATTCATTTACAATTGCCGTAATTCTAGTGGGAGGCAGTCTGTCCTTAGGTTACATCAAACGATGCAAAACTATTGCCTGGGTTCGATGGGCTGTGCCCACTGTGGCAGGTTGTAACAGTCGAGAGACCGCCTTAGAGACCCCTTTAATGTTGACAATGGCCCTCCAGGCTTTTTGTTGCTGCCCTTTTGACCGTCGCTTGTGCTCTCGACGCCTGCTTTTCTGGATAACGTGAGTGAGATCACAGTTAGTTGCAAAGAAGTTCTGAAGGTATAGCCGTTCGGCCCTTATAACCTCTGGCGTGCTGCAGTGTGTTGCAACTTTTTGACTTTAATGCGGACACAGCTACGTTAGTGAGACAGAAGGCAGTTGTTTTTGAAGTGTTGTATCTGCCGCGTGTCGACGGCCCTTCTGAATGCTGTAGTTTGCAGTTGTCCAATTGCACATCGACGCACAAGAACATCAAGAAAGGGGTGGTTGATCATCTGTTTCGGCTTCCATCGTGAAGTAGATATTCGGGTCAACGGAGTCCAGCACTTCTTTAAGGTGCTCAATGTCGGTTGTTATGACAAAGGCAGTTTTGCAAGCACAACGAGCCCCGAACTTCGGCTGATAATTGGTGAACACCAAGTGTTTTATCCGTTGAAGGACGACTAAGGCAATCAGGCCTGATTAGGGGGAGCCCATAGGGGTGCCTTTAATTTGCCCGTACATTTGTCTATCAGAGGTGAAACAGGTCTTAATGCAGTGTCGTAGAAGCTCGAGCAGATGTTCGGACTTCGGGAGTTTGTCTCTATCCTCATGGGGTCCATCCACTAGTCGGTCCACAACGTCTGCCGTTAGATGCTGTGGAATGGAAGCGAAGAGCGAAACGACGGCAATGGATACCATGGATTCATCTGGCTCTATATTTAGGTGTTCATGCGCCCGAGGAATCTACTCGCAGATTCTACTGTTTTCGGTGAGTCTTCGACAAAATATCCAAACAACCAAACATCCATTTTGTCAAAGTGTATGCCGAAGAGCCACGGGATATTCGATTCGCCTGAAAGGTACATTTACCTTGCGTACCTTCCGCAGACCGTAAAAACGAGCAGCGGACTGACCACATTGATGATAATTATCTTCCAAAATTATTGACGATGTGCCTCTTGCGTTTGTAAATAAACTGTGGAAAGAAACACTACCGAACAAAAGTATCTGACAGTATGGAAAAAATGCATAAGGCCTACTGATCGTGGAGCTTTTTGAAGTTGCTTATGCTGTACATGCATATGCCTAGAAATTATGAAGTGAGTTCAAACAAAATATCTCCAGCAGGCAATAACACTTTATTTTCAAGCATTAAAAAAACCCACTCAAAAATCTGAATTTCAAACGAAAAAACTGTTTTTTATTCAAAAAACACGTCTTGCCTCATTTCCCCGAACAAGATAGTCAAGTTGCAAGTTGTGGCATGGATAACGTACATGATTGGGGTCAGAAAACAGTAACCTGTAGGGCGTTTCTTACAGGAATTTCGGTACTATGACTTATACGGGTGTGGCCTCATAGAAGCGTTCAGGAACTGCCTTAAAAGCAAACTGCGCGAAGGAGGCCTTGAGTCCGGCAGAGCGGCATGGGTCCACAGGGATGAAACACAGTGCGCCTTTGATTTGGGCTGAACAATCTGGGCCTAAAGCAGGCAAAGGAGAACTTTCTACTCCATACTGCCGAAGTAGAGGAGTAGGTCGTGTCGTAATATTCTCCGTTAGGTACCCGGACATGACGGGGATGTGTAAGGTGGGAGTATGCATCCTTCCAACTCCGGACAAATCTGTCTTTGTCTAAAGGATTGATTGTAGAAGTGAGTGTATGTGGGAATTTTTGCAGCGCCGCGTGCGTGGGGCGGTGTAGTTAAAAAAAGATCATCCTGCTTGTACTAGAGCCGTCGTAGGGCTTGCGTGGATTCCGACCGAAAACTCTACCAAGCGCCTTGGTAGATAAATAGAGTAGGTCAAATACGTTATCCTTACCCAAGTTCTTAATGACACTTTTGGTATATTTTCCTGATTTACTCGAGAATGCGTTCAAATGTGAAGAGATGTCTGGGACAGCTGTCAACAGCAAAAATTGTCCAAATAAGGTACTATTAATTTCCGCCAGAAAACTATAGTCTTTCCGCTGTTATGATAATGTACGTGTGGAAATCTTTGTAAATTTAGTTACGTGTATATACAGTACTATTGATAGAATAAGGCAATAATAGAAAACGTAAAAACTTCAACAATGGATACCTTGACAAAGAATGCCTTTGCTGCTGTTGGAGAAAATCGAATTCCCAACTCAGAACAGAATACAAAACTAGTTAATTAAAAGAACACCGATCACGCTCGAAAGAGGGTTGCAAAAGGGGGAACGGAATGTCAACAGGGGCCAAATGTGGAAGCACTTGTAAGGAGGGCGTGGAGAATTCCAAGCGTTGACCAGCTGGATACAACGGTATAAATGCACTGCAAAAACGGCTTTGCTGTTACATCACAAGTTAATGAGTAAAAAATGCAATGAGGGATCTCTAATGAAGTAATCACCTCGGTTTCCGTCACCACTTTTAATGAATTGCGTCAACGAACGTATCTTGAACTCGATTGTTCCTGCTGTTCTTCAGACAGTGTTTCTTGAGCGAAGCCACTTATTTCATCAGTATTTGCTATAACCCGCTTGCGATTACATTACGAATTTTCTAGAATAACAGTCCCCCAAAAGTTCTTGTATGAGTTCCTGCTAATGTCATTCGAGCAGTTATTCTTTCTTCAGTCCACAAAATAGGCCCAAGATTCGGAAACTAAATTTTATAACCATCTGAAAGAACAAATTTCTCAGCTCCATGAAGCAAAAGTAAACCCTGAACGCATCTTGTCATCAGTTGTTTAGGTATGAATTTTCTTCTGGCTAATTTATTCGTTTCTACAAGCAGATTGAGTATAATTAGGGTACAAGTGAGTGGTGTCTATTGTCGACTCTAGTTATAGATTTTTCATCTGCCGAAGCTTCGGCGTCGCCTATCATTTTGGAAAAGCCACACCTATGGGTAGGGATTAGGTTCGAAGTCTATTTCATGGCCGCGATCTCAAGTCGTCTGCAAAAGGCTTATTAATGCAGCAGAGACGGGGTCCTAATGACAAAATTAAACAAACAAAAATAGTTGAAATATTCCGTTTTTACTCTTAAAGCTGAGCATTTTATTGAGACACCCTGCGGGGACTTTTTATGTTAATTTTTAAGGAACCTGGCGAGTTGGCCTCTATCTACTAAAATGGGCATAAGCGTAAACAAATTCGTCAAAATGACGACTATTAAATTGAAGAAACACACCAGGATTTTTGGCGAAGTCGGTATTTTCCACTTTTACGGCAATGCAATTTACTTTATAAAATTATCTTTAATTAGTGCCTTAACCAGGTTTTGCCTTTGCTTGGGAAAGGAGAGAGAAATCTTATTAGAAGAACTCTTTTCACAAATTGACAGAACACTGGCTATCACGGACAGTTTTGGTTTGGTATTTCATCCTTGAATTCATTCAAATAACACAGTCCTTTCAATGAAACCGTCAACTTTGTATTTATTTGGAAAAGTGCTTAGGATTGTATGAAAGTCTTCGAGGCCCAGAGGAGATGCCCTGTCACCTAAAAGATAATAATGATTTCCTGCCAGATATAGGATAGTTCAAGAAATACTAATAACGACCAACGAAGTTAATTTAAATGACGGATTCTGAATAAATCTCAAAATTCAGAAATGAACAGACACACTAGATGCTAAAACTTGTATTCGCCGCATATTTGCCAAGCGTAAGTAGAAGTGCGACCGCTGGGCAATGGTCATTACATGGCATCTTGGTAAAGAAAACCTCCTTCAGTAAATTGCCCATTAAACTCGGAACAATGTCAGATTTCAGTAACTTCATTCTTTCTAGGCTAGCTGGTAAACACTTTATCAAATAGGCCCATCAATCATGAGAATTGCGGGCATATTGGAGAGAAGTGAGGCCTTAATTGTGTTTTGAAACTAGTGGTGCTCTGTTTTAACCCGCGTCTTATACATACTTGCTTAAATCTATGTGGTAAATATTCGTGTATCTCGGGTACTTTACCACAGGGCATTGAAAGGACCGCGCCATAAACGGAACGAGTTTGTATTTCTCTCGCACATGTGTATTTGGTCAACTTATTCCTTATTTTAACATCGTTTAGTCTCCGCAGAGAGGATAACTTGAACATTTCTACTTAGAGAGGATGTTTGAAAGATTGTGTTACCCTAACGAAGTTGAGCACGGTCAAATTTGGTGAAGACAGTAGAATTCGATCGCATCATACACTATGAGGTTTTGTTCATTTACGAACGGCTTTCATTACTTGAAAGCCTGAAAACAACAGGAAAGCACGGCACTTGCTGACAAAACGCAATGCAGTCACAGTATCCTGGACGTGTGGAAGCGTCTGGTGGGAGGGAGGATGTAAGGTTTAACTGGCCCAGACCCCTTGTCGAGGCAAGGTTATTGTGTCTTGGGTGGCGAGTGTGCCCCCTAAAACGGGCCAGGCGATAGACGCGCTGTGCCAACACGGGGCCTGGATCGGCGTCCAGCAAACGATATTAGGAATGCGCACCCATAACAAATGTCAAAATTAGGAGTATAATATAAGGTCCATGTGCAGGCACGCCTATTGGGATTCGAACCGCCCCCCCCCCACATGTGTTGTTGTATATAATCCTGGTTAGCCTACTTTGTGGGCCAGAGGATGTGTTGGTACGCCTAGGGGCGGGTTTTTGCCGTGCCAGTCACCTGTGACTTCTCCTGCCTCCGGCCTTCTTGACACCGAATCCAGGTTGTTCAGGGGGAGAGAGTGCGGCAGGTGCAGCCCAAGTCTACTATCACTTTTATTCACGCACAAGTCACCGCTCCTGAACTCATCCTGCTGTAAAGCACATGGTGGACATCTTGGGTCACGACGGTGAGACTGTCGCGTGCGCTGAGAGCGTGACAGCCAGTCAGTTTGCAAATTTTCTGGTTGTCTTTCAAAAAATGATCTCGTTGTCTGCTCATCCCGATAGCATGGAATGCCCGAACAACGCAACTCAATTGCATTCAACTACTGACATGTTTCCAGTGCCAGAGTCCCTAGTATACTTTTGGTCCAAAAATAGCTTATTATCTACTCGCGTCAGTGGACTTTTCGATCCCTCCTGGTTGGATAATTTGCCGAAAGATTCCCACTTGCTTACCACAATATATGTAAGAAATTGGGAATGGCCTACAAATAAACGCATTCGTGTTTGGATTTCCCCCTTTCGAATCTACCTAATGTATCCCAGTGAGGAAGATTTAATATTTTGTTTCCGATATTCACTAAAATATTCTAGGGAAAAAAAGTGCTGATATAGGAGTTGCACGATTGCTTCCGTTCGCTTTAGTAGGCTCCAGAGCGCGTGATAGAATTCATCGAAATTTTAGATATTCGATTTTAGACGCTATTTATAAAGGGAGGTTGAAATGTGGCGCAAAATATTGTCCATTATTATGTTAAGCGGCAGACGGAAGGGTGTTGATATTTGGTTGAGATTATTTCTAACCACCCGTCAAAACGTACTCGCCAGGCGTCATTCTATTTCATTTTTTTCCTTTTTCCTTATTTTTAACTTTTATATGAATCGCGTCATAAGTTGCCGAGAACCAATCGATACATGATAATCCGCACGGCCGCCACTTAGTGGCACATACACCCAGCAAATGTCAATTTTCAAGCAGGTGTAAAATGTGACCTAGACGGTTAGTGGAAAACATTTTCATTTGAAGTCCAGCAGCATGCTATTTATTATTTAGCTAAGGATTGTCTTCCATGATAATCAATAGTACATCCAGACACAAATCATCTTTTCCATTCGAAGAGTGAGTAAAAATCCCCGACGATTTCTTTGTGTGTTTCTCCATGCGCAACATTTTAAAATGTGTTCGACCCAACTTTAACGTATCTATTTCTATAAAAACGAAACCTCCGAATATGCATTTTGCAGATGAAATTCTACGCGGCGAATGTTCTTCGTGAGACCTGGCTCATATACAAGTACACGAGACTTGTAAAGAAGTTAAATGCCTCTACTATCAGGAGACACCAACGGAAATTCTTGCATGCAATCCATGGGTGAGTAAAAGTAAACTGTTTTCAAGGCAAGCCTTCTGCATGCTATAGGTCAGCAGTGTTCTTTGGATATCCAAAGAAGGAATTAATGGGGTCTATAAATAGCAGTAGATTGTCAGAAATCATTGCGTGCAGCTTAAAACGGCCATCGTCATGAATGCCGGCAAAGATGGTGCAGATTATCAAAGGACGTTATAGGTCCGACAGAGACCACTTCAAGCAAAATGTTCTAAATAATAGAGCCGAAAACAGGAGTTGAAAATTAATAAATGATCACCAACGCAACTCTAAATATGTCCCAGAGTTTTGAGCCATCAGAATTAAGCTCAGATGGTTTCAGTGATTTACGCATGCGTCCAGGGTCATTTTACTCCCAGTAGTTATTGTTCGGTAAGCAGGCAAATATGACGAGATAAGGAAGACTTATCGTAAGTGGACTAAATGAACTTGGGATAGGTTATTCAATGCAATGACGGACTGGCTGGTGGGAATAAAAATGCCTTCGTGGAGGATTAAATGACTATTTTCGTAGTCCTAGCGTAGGCGTCAAAAATCCGAATCAAAAATTGGTCGTCCGTAATCCAACAGGAGACTGCCAACTTGGAGATTTAAAGAAATTTCTGGGCTAGTTTTAATGGAAAATAAACCAAGAATGTATGTGTTACGGAAATTAACGTCAAAAATGTTAAACAGGCGAGTATTAAGACACTTTGAATTTCGACGCAATTTCCGGCGTCTGAAGGAAATCTGCCGATCATTTGACAATTGCCTGGGGAAAACGATGGGTGACCATATCACTGGTTGGGAGACCCCTGGACCATTACATTTTTTAACATCGATATGCCAGCCTGTTTAGTGTGTGACAACGGTCTTGAGATGATTTATTGTAGTGAACAACTAAGCTGCAGTTTCCAAAAGAATACAGTTACAGTGATCCATAATTATTCAACTGCCACCGGAATTCAAATACAGAAATGAAACCGGTATTCAGCCGAATGCAGGCCCTGCCACTAGGCAATATTCCCAAGTTCTCTTTTAACAAAGTTTTATAAAACTCACTTCGGCACAAATGGTTCTTTACAGATTTATAGAGTTAAAGTATATAGCATTATGAGGCTCGCGCTTTTGTTTTTGGCCAATCAGACATTGAGAGTATACTGCAAACGACTATTCCTTCCAGAAGGTGATCAGGACAAAACCTGTAAATACCAAATTTCAAGAGGACATGCTATTGTGTCTAATGATATACAAGGTTTTTATAGGAATAGACGGTTAACATAATATCGTGACAAATGCGGAAGATGCCAAGCCATGTCTGATGTGTGTGAATATGTTGACTCACCTTTGAAGATTCGAATATGGTAGACGTTGCGCATTACATGTCCCATTACTGAATCTAGTCTGTTCTGGAGAAGCAGAGAGATGATATTTTAACTCATTCCTAGGTTATGGTTTCGATTTTAGATGTCGTAAAAAAAGAAGAAAGACCGGTATCATCGATTAAACCTTGAGGACTGCTTACATGTCCTTCTCCTCCAGACAGGACACGATAATTGAAACGCCGCTCTGTTGAGCAGCCTCCAAGGATACGAGTTTTCTCCCATGCACATATGTGTCCATTGAGTACGGGACCATCTGGGGATGTATTGTCCGGTCTTCTCGTCACCAGCCAATGATCATGCTTACGGCTAGAGGCAACCACTTTAGGCCACCTCAAAATTTTACGTTAAATGTTGTGACGACTTACTTCTTGCCGAGGTGGCCGACCCTTTTCTACGGGGTGTATAGAACTGGTTAGAAAACTAGTTGTAGGCTCGTAAGTTACGTGCATCATGCGTTTTTTCAGCTGTCTTTCGATGGACACAGATGCATATCTACGCAAGGCACAGGTTGTTAGCTGGTTGGTTTTGGGCATTTCTACGGCGGTATTGTCGGAAAAGCCACTGTTTTTAGACTCTTTTCGACAAACGGGTGGGCGCACAAGGTCTAGGTAATAGCGTTTTTCGTGAGAGCAACTTGTAACTCGACGAGGAAGAGGGTTTGACTCCATTTAGTAAGCTGCTTGACCAGACTCTTTTGTGGAAGACAGGATGTTCACTTTCATAATGCGGGATAACTTCTGAGCATGCCTGTTTTTCGATAAACCGATGCACACGGTCTTCCATTTGGTTTTCGAGGTTGTTGTACGTCAACGGGTCGCGAATGTTCCATTGACCTCCACTTTTAAGCAACATCGATTCCTGGGAGTATTTGATTACAATTATTATGAAGCACTACTAGTCGATCCTTTTTGACGATTGCAGATACGCCGACTGTATGGCACATTTCTCGTTCCGCATTTGGTGGGGGAACGACTTAATTTCTAATTTCTGCCTTCTGGCCTCTGCTAGTACGTCAATTGTAGGCGAGTCTGCCGAAGCGCCTTTAGTTTTCAATATTATTATTTTAAAAAAAGTTGGATTCTGGACGGAGATCGAGAAGTTGAATTGGAGCGTCCGTAGGCACAGTTGATTTGTAACCCTGAGTGGGTTTTCCCGTATGCTATTACACTGCATGTCGCGGAATTGAGGTTGACAGGGCAATCTCGTCATCTTAAGCAATTATTTCGTCAGTTGTGAATTTATCTCTTTTTATTTTGTCTAAAAATTGCGCAAAATCTTCATTTAGGTCACGGAATGCCTATCAAGTGAATGGAGACGTTGAAACTGCCACTTATAAATTATGTAGTATTGTGAGGCGTGTGAGGATATGAAAAGTTGCAGTCGAATACGAATTTTACTCTAGGAAGTCTGTAGGTCTTCGCAGTTTCCAGTTCATCTTGTTGTAGGAATTTCGCGAAAACTCTTGAAAATAATTTTGGCCCTACAACTCTTTTTTACACCTTCTTGGTGCGCGGGTTTTGCGATTTTATAAACTCATCTGGTAAGAGTTTTGTTGGAAATCATCTTTCAGCCATGACTTAAGCTTCTCCATGTAGCATGCGCTGGCAGTCCTCTGACACCTGGTTCTCTGTCGGTAGATGCGTTTGCGCTCCCGTTGGGTCGTGAGAGTGGCTGCCCAGTCACACTCCTCCCTTTGACCCATCGTGGTGTTATTGTTGGTTAAAATTGTTGTGTGAAGCTGGCGGTGTAGAGTGGAGCGCCAAAGTGCGGGCTCAACCGCGCCATCCACCTGCGCCCTCCCCCGCCTCCGGTCCTCTTGACTCTGTATTTGCACGGAGCTCAGGGGGCGGGAAGGGGGAGAGAGTGCGGCAAATGCAGCGCAAGTCCATTACCACTATAGACCAATTCACGCGCAAGTTATCGCCCCTGCTTCAGCGGGCTGTGGAGCACAAGGTGTATATCATCGGATGCGACGGTCGAACTGTCATGTATTCAGTCGTGTTTAGAACGCAGGTGTAACCTTCTTCGCTACTGGTTTAAATTTCGGTCTTTTCCAAGCAATATTAATGATCTTTATTTGTTGTACGCTTACGTTTCAGACCTATTTCGGTTTTCCATTATAGCGTCGGATATAGTATAATCTAACGCACCAAATACTTCGTGATTTTCTTGAATGTCCATCTAGTTTCTCTGATTTTTATCTCTTATATAGATGTTCTCGCCGCTTCTCTTTCAGTGCCCACTTTTACTCGCACTATTAGTCCTTAAAATTCCAAGATAATGTCGTATACTTGGTATCAGTGTGAAGTGGCATCGAGAGTGAATTTCTATTTTTCGACCAAAAACAAAAACTGCATCCGAAATCTGGTCGTTATCTGATTATTGTTGTCAGATGCAGAGAATTCACAGCTCTTTGAGAAATCGTTTATTTGGAGCCCTTAAAATGTTTCTACTAAAAGATTTACTATTTCAGACTCAGGCAAATGAAACTTGAACAGCGTCGGCTGCAGGACAACGCCAACACACTCGTGGACCTTGCCAAGGTAGAATGTAACCAAATGAATTTTCTCTTTGCAGTAGACAGTGCTCTTTTAATACTTGTCTCATAACTTACGTTTGTGAGGAGGCTTCCATTACGACATCACATTATTTGCCAACGCCGATTAGGTACCGTTTACCTTTAAAGGTAAACTGCAAAATTATGCTGCTCCCAATGAGGCTGACTGACTCACTAGTCCGAAAAGGTCATTTTGATTTTCTATGATGTCGTCAAAATAAATTAATATATTGGCAGCAACAAAGGCAAGCCGCGCACGAGGAGTGGTGAACTGAAGTAATGCTAGCTGTGTATATGAAAATGCGTACGCAGCTTTCAAGCAAGTTTTCCATCGTTATTTGTGGCTTGTGAAAAAGTGTTTTGGCGGTAAATCTTTAATGGTCATGACAGTTCTTGTTCACTTGTCCTTCAACAGCACGTCTTACACAGACATATCCAAGCACATGGATCTGAATGCGTCGCCGCCGTCAGGCCTCGACAAGTATCATTCACAGCCTTAATATGCCCCAAAAAATTCGACATCAATTTGTTGCCATTCCGGCCAAATTAAACCTTTTTTTGTGACGTCCGGAAAACCACTAGTGTTGACGTCAACTTTTTTGCTGGTACTCAAGTCAAAAAGTGCAAATTGTCCTCGACTTTTAGCGTTGGGTATGCATCTACATTGAGATCACGTGTTAGGTGCTCAAATAGCTATTTTTACTTGTAACCCTTCCGTTGTCGCAACGTGGGAGGCTACTACAACGTCCTGCTCGAGATCTTTATGCAAATTTGGCATATGAGATCAAACCCATGTGACCACACTACGCGCAAGGAGATTGTTAAACTTTCATCATAGTCCGCAATTTGGTGCTGTCATTTGTGTGTGACTAGAGGATGCCTCTGAAGGAATTCAAGCCAACGTGTAACACCTATATGACAATTTCGTGCGGGGCAAGAGGATGTGTTTTATACGGCGCGGGTTGTCTTCGTATAATATAAGATGCATAAAAGCGAATCATTACTACCAATTACTTAAGGAGGAATATTGTGATGGATACAGCCCACTCTTATATCATTTTGATGTTTGTCTGAGGACGGTGGAAGTTATTTCCAAGTACTTAACGTCCGTTTACTCTAACTGTTGGAGAATTCACTTTGTGAACAATACCTGATAAACACAATGTTGCTTTGATCCACAAATAGGCGTGGGGATTTTTCTAAAGCGCATTATCAGTAGAACTGTTTTAATATTTCATCATTGGGGAATACCCGTGTCTCAATAAACCCCAAAGTCGAAGCATCACTAAACTCTAGTAGTCAAAACCTCTTTGTGAACAAGGACTAAACCTGCTGGTAACAGTCTTTGTCGGAAGACTTGTCTTGCAAGTGTCTCTACAAGTTTTTGCTATAGCTATCTTTGGTTCTCCATCTCAACACTTTACACCGCGGACCATCGCTCTCTGCAGAACAATAAACAAATATATTAACGCAAAGTATGTAGGGGTGTTTTACTCTTGGCGTGTTCCACGTTCCGATTTCTATCTGCAGATAACCGCTGTAAGGTAACATCTGGTCCAGTACTTCCCTAGTTTTTAAATGTGAACACGCCCATAGTGTAAATTAGTGTAAAATAAAACAAATCTAGATATTGCTACCAAAATACAGAAAATCTTAGCTCAAGCAATAATGTCGAAAATGTAAGTAGGTATATGACAGACTTACACTCGAACGTTCATTCTGTCAGAAAATTTAGGCAGGCCTGTTTTGCATAATTATCAAGAAGTCTAAATCTGGTAGGGGGTGCTCACTGATCGTTCTAACGGAACTCACTCGTTCCGTTGTGCCTAATGGACTCTCCCTCAAGCCCAACCAGCATGGCTTCATGTTCGGGGGAATAAAGGGAATTGATGCATGAGATAGGGAAGAAGTCCCTATTGCCCTCCATTGTCCCAATTACGGAAAAACTGGCATAAATATTCACTCCGATAAATCCTCTCTGTCAAACTCTGAAGCTGGCAGTCGCAAGAAAAATCCTGTGTGAGAACTTACATGTGTTACTTAGTTGAGATGCTGCCGTCTCTGTCACCTTTCAAATATACGTAGAAGACTCCCACCTAGAAATTATTTCCGTGCACCGTCATTAAAACTAGGTCAGCAACGATAAATAACAAGATCGTTTCCACACTGGACGACTGTATGAGGAGTTATTTTGTTTGGTTTATGGCGAAGCTGTTGGACTAAGGAAGTGAAACTATACTTAGCCAACGTTCCCAAACTAAGGGGAGAATTCCAATCGCTCTCTGTTTGACCGCATTCTAACCCACATGTAGAACTGGGCTTATTTTCATTGATTTACATGGCAGTTCTCTGTCCCCTACTGGTTTACAGTTCAAATCGACTTCGAAACCGACTGATGTCACAAAATCCCGGTGTATCCTGTATTGTATTAGTGAAATTTTCACTGAACTGGTCAACGGCCATCCTTCATGACTGGAACCGTTGTACTTATGACACCCGCAGAGCGCCTCCAAAACCATTTTCTCATCAATCAACGCGGTCTGTGTAATCGCCTCCGTAATACATTTTGTAGTTCGTCATGGAGATGTTTGCCTGGCAGAGACCATCCGCATGAAATCGCCTTTATGTCCTCTCTGTCTACACGTTGGAGTTTGAGCATTTGCTTTTGTGACATTGATTCCGATTTGGATGTAGGCTTCACTTAAGTATTTAAACCTAATTTTGTTTGGCTTCCGAGTAGGAGAGATCTCGAGCACAGCATTTATCTTTCTGACATGTTCACATTCGTCAAACTGGGTTCCGTTCACTCTGTCTTCATTATAGTCGGACTATAAGTTTTATCAAAAGTGAATTTCGTGCATGCTTCATAAAAGGTGTCCGGCACTTACTCCGCATTTTCACATTATTTTCTCAGAAGAGTGAAACGTCTAGCCAGCAATTCGCCTTATTCCGGTTTACTGGTGGATACTTCAGATTTTGGCAATGACAGCATAAATGTGGCCTTTTTCACCAAAGTGGCAAGTTAATCGTCTCTATGTAGATTTCGTCACTCCCACTCTATTTAGATTGCTACTAATACAAAAAAACGTTAAATGTTGTTGATGTAGCTAAAGGTTTTCGAAATTTGGACCCCTAATTTACGCCTTACACAGCAGCCTTAATTCAGCAGCAAATGCTACCAACGTATGCTTATGTTAAGAGTAAAATTAAGTTTGGGATTTTATCCTTAACACTGGCCCGACAACTGCGATGACGAGGCCTCGAAAAAACTGATAATCAGATCCGGGCATTTCCGGTTCTCCACACGACGTATTTCATAGATTTCGCCGGAAAAATTTTTTGGCTGTTGTTGAAAGTGCAATATTTAATTACCAAAGGATCTCAATGTGCTTCTATTTCCTGGTCTGATTTATTTACAAAAAGGGATGTCAAGCACAGTTTACAAATTATTCTTGACAATATCCACACAATTTCGTTCTGTGCAAATAATAGCAAAACATCCAGACGGAGGAAACTTTGCTACAGAATCCAAAGTGTGAATGAGCCCATTTGTATTGCACAGGTAGACTAGTTAGGCGCACAGTCGATAGGGTGCCGATTTTCAATGACCGTTTTTAATCAGACGCATATTTTACGGGAGAATACAGTAAACAACAGCTACTTATTTGGGAGTGACATAACCGCTTAGTTGGTAACCGCGTTGCCTAATAAAACCTCCATCAACTGAATCATGCATAAACTTGAACGCAAAATCATTCACAGAATCGAATTTACGGTTTTTATGCATAATCCTATAGTAAAATCTAGCATCAAGCCTAAACAACCAGAATTTTAACATTACGAAAAACGGAATTCCCTCATCGTTACTTTAGGACATAGTTTTCATATGCAAAAAAGGAGCTCGGAACAGCTGTTTACCTTCTAATATCAACACCCCATAACGCGATGCTTATTCTTCTACTTTATGGATCAGTTTAAACGCATACCACGAATAATCGCTTGCATTTTGGCTCAGGCTGAACGCAACCTATTTAGTCATTGTTTTTTTCATGACGACAGACAATGGTAAATGCATTAATCGAAACATTTCTAACTCTCCCTCTTTCGAAGTCTTAGTTAATGAGCTTATCAATAATACAAGCATGCATGTTTCATTACCACCAGCGGTCGTGGGATTTAGCATCCATCATAAATTACAGAACGTGGAAACGCCTAACCCATTCCTTCTTTGAGTAATCAAAGAATTGAGGGGCCACAAATGGTTTGAATAGGGCATAATCTTTATCATGGAAAACAACTTAGTGAGCGGCTCCTTGTTTGCTGTGGATTTGCGTCGATTCATGCAAGAGGTTTTACAGCCGTGTGGCCTTGCTCTTTAAGATGAGGTGGCGATTGAGTGACTCCTACCTTATTTACATGTACGTATAACATAAATTTTTAAGTGACCGATTTTGAAAGTTTACCCTAGCTTGGCCAGTTTCCTGGCATGTGCCAACAGAAGAGTCAGAGGCCGCGTAAGTGTCGCTTGACAAGTAAGAAGATTAAGCATTAATTCACAGACGAACACATTTCCAGCTGCTTTTCTCAAATGTTATTTAAAATTTGCAAAGATATCGTTGCTAATGGTAGTTTATGCGCGCGTGGTAAAGGTTTAAAAAGCGAAGTAAACTACCTACGGTAAATTATTCTGCGGATGAAGCATGCAGATCGCTAATTCAAATGATCAGTAGGGTGTTTCAGGTATTGAATTACACGAAAAAACTTTCATTATTTCTGCTTTAACAACTGACCGGCATATATACGTTTTCGATAAAGTTTCACCGGACCAGTGCATGTATAAACTGTGTTTGCAGTTAGGCTGAAATAAGATCGAACTGAAGTACCCTCATTAATTGGTCACTGTTCCAGGGTGACACGATGGCTATACTAATGAAGAGGAACCTTAATAGAACCACATTCTAAGGATTCCCAGTCAACAGGGTGCAAATTTGGTCCTTAACTCATCTCATTCCTCAAGCTTAAAAAAATGAAAGTTGCCCTCGCAGACGGTTT